ATTACTAACCAGAACGGGCTAAGCGGATTGTGAACTGTGATCAGGCCCCAATGAATTTCGAACAGGCTAGATGAATCATGGTATATACAATTTAACATATACGCATACGTATCCCTGGTTGACATTCGTCCATGCCCTGTAAAAGTTAGCCACCAACATAGGGTCCCCTGTAATTCCCAGTGCCATGTGCCCAGAGAACGTCTCCTTTTGCAGGGAAGCCTTGTGCAAGAGTTGGAATAGATGATAAGCTGTGGGATAAACTACCTATTGGTCCCGGGCCTTGGGTCCCACCTGAATGGCATCCGTGCTGATCAGCGAGTGTTTTGTTTGGCACATGTGTGCATGTATAACTTCCCCAGTGGTTCCGAGCACTTATGTTGGGGGCCCCTGGGCAACTCATTCCATCAGTAAAGTAAGACAACAACCTGCACCGCTATGATGGGAAAATGCAGGGTGCTAATGCCCAAGGTTCCAATTAAATCTCCTGTGTTCATCGTCGGGCCGGGTCCCCCCAAGTACTCACAAGGCTTTGGTTTTCGGGGGGTCAGGGGCCCCAAGCCGGGCGCTGTTTGCGCTGTTTGCGAGGTCGCGTACTTGTGCAAACGAAGGCTCTCGGGTTCAAGATCGATCCGCGGGAATGTGGGCAACGGGAAACCAGAAATGAGAACCCAAGTTGATTTTCAAATGCGATGTTGTTTTCGGGGCCCAGGAGCAATTGAGCGGAGGTGGTCGCTTTGGGGTGGAACTGGACTTTGGCGAGGAATTGATGGGACTGGCAAACTCACCTAGAAATGCCTCGTTAGCTTCCATGCCATCTGCAGGCAAGCATTTTTTCTGGAGCCCATCTCAAAGATTCAGCTACGTACGCTTTGTTGGGCAACACGGTGCATGTGAGGGGCTTGTGATTTCAAAGACAAACATGTATGGATTGTTCTGTGATATTTCGGGAATCTGTTCGGAAGATTGTGTTTTCAGGAGAAGCGGCCAGTCAGCTGCAGGGGGAGGCAGCTAGAGGGATCACCTTGGCTTTGATGATTGACTGATCTTGCCTGGGTTGGTATAAAGGAGTGGCGCATTGTGTGTGTGTGTGGTTGTGTTACTGGTAGCCTTTTTAGCATCCAAATTGGACTGCATAGCGTCTTGCCAGTGTGCCCCCGCTGAGTCGCATCCTTCCCGGTTGACGTGCTTGCAATGCTCAACAAACAGCACAAAGCTCCCTGAGAACTATTGCCAGTGCTTTCCACAGCCATTGCAAGGACCCTGTCCAAGAGACCCATTGCTCTCCCCATCATATTGTGTTTTAACTACGTGTCTAGAGCTTTGGTTGGCTTGAACCCCGCGTCCCAGCCCCCGCCCCTCTCTCTTGCCTTGCAGTAGTGCCTTAGGTCGGGAACCATTGGGTTGGCATTCCATGGCAAGTTTGGCAGGCGGCTTGCCAGTTTCCAACCGCGCATCAATGTGCAGAAAAAGACATGATTCACATGGCTGCGTGTTGAATCTACGGATATTCTTAATGGTTTGGCTTTCCTTCTGCATCGTTTTGTTTCGTTGCCACATCCAAGAAAGGCCCCCAGTTTTGACACCGTTTCAACTGGCAGTGTATGATTGCGTCCCATGGGCCCAAAAGCGGTGGGTTTTCCATGGCTATAGATTAATTCCCAGGGTCTACATACTCAGCCTTTCACGCAAACGAGCCACGAATGATAGGGGTGTTGGCATGTAGCCCTCTCACCCTTCGGGTGAATGACCCTGAAAGGCTTGCTGTTGTTCATACGTTTTTTCCTCAGGCACATACTCACAACGTGGGCTGGGCCGTGGAACCAACGGACATGCTGAAACTCTTGAATAGTTGCATCAATACAAAGACATTGAGAGCTACAGCAAGGTCACAGCGATTGAGCTTCTTCCAACTAGTGAAGCTTTTCCGAGTTACCACAGTACCGCTCGTGCTTTTCTTGTTCCAGCCTTAGGTGTTGGAAGGCACTAGACTGGACTATCTAAACCACTGGTTTTAAAGACATGTATAGTACTTGAGTAGCCAACTGATCACTGGATGAAATTGGAGGGGGCACATCTCCCCTGATGCTTGCAACGTGAAGATGATCATATGATTCATACATGAGTGTGCCTCGTGAATTGTTTGTTTCGGTTGTTCTCTTAAACCCTTCATGTAGGGGTTTGCCGATGTGACCCTGCTGGATTTGAGGTTGGGTAAGCCGCCAGCGAGTTTTCCGCAAGGACCAGTGTTTATTATCAAAGACACGGTGCTGTTGAAGGGAACGCGGCAAGAGCAGAACGGGCTTTGAAAGCTTTGGCCAGCCAGCGTGTGGGCTCTTCTCCATGAGAAATCCTCGTCAATCTTGTGCTTCGGTTTACATCCATGGTTCTATGTATAACCTTTCGATACCATGCGTTGGCCCGCGATATGTATGATTAGAGGAAAGTCCCAAAGGGAGCCAATCAGTGCAAAGGTCCTGGGAGTTGACTTGGCGGCGCATCCGACCGCGCAGGGTGAAGACGGTGAAGCGGCCGCGGACGGCCTTCAAGGATTAGCAGGAGGTCGGCGATATGCTTAGGCTTCATCACTAGCGAGCTGCTTGGCGGTAGAGCAAGCATGATGAAGGTTGTTACTTGGGGAGTTCTTAGGTTCAGGCTGTGAGTCATAAGAATCATCCAGGCAGGACCCGGTGCTGATGTTGTTATGCTTGAAGAAGCATCCGCAACATCCTGCTGACGTGGAGGCCAATTTTCCAGCTTAGAGCAGCTGAATGCAAATTCAATGATTGTGGCTGGCAAGTGCCACGTTGTGGCGGTAGCACTGCCCACTTGCAGTTGAGGTGAGCACCTCACTGTGTCACGTGCGCTGCATTTGCGCACTCGTCCAAAGACTTCGCTAGTCTTGCATTGTTTTGATTTGAGGTTGATCCAAACAATGTGTCCTGGGTGCACGTGTTGAGGCACTTTTGCATTGCTTGTCGTGCTGGCCAGTTCAACTCATGATTGATAGTAGTGGTGGTGACAATCATGCTGTTAGCTGCTGCGGCTGCGGCTCGCTTGCTGCTTGTTGCGTTTATGGACAATGTGCAGGGCAGTTAGCATGGCTTAGAATCAGTTTAGTTTGTGCGGTACACTGTTCACCAGGCGACTCACACGAAGTTGCTGCTCAGGGTTCCTGCTAAATTTGCCGCATGCAGAGGGCAGACATCTGATTGAGACAACTTCAAGCCTTGCCACCGGTAATGCTTGTTTGCAGCTTGCAACCACCAATGGTTGAGGGGCAGACAATAGTTAGTTGAATGCCGGACTATCTTGTCTTGGGCCGGGACTGCCTCATTGGGGTTTGTTGAGGTCTTCACCCTGCGGACAATTTGATTGCTCACATACCACTTCACAGGCGTACCTCGCCCTCGCTGTCCTTGGTTGGATAGTTGGATTGCGTACAGATTATTTTCTGACTTGCAGCCCGCACTCGCAGGTTTTGGGCTGAATTCACATAAATTTGGCATGAACCCCTTTGCAGACAGGACAAATCCTGACATCAACCTTCTCAGGGTGCTTGAGGGGCCAATATATGAGCAAATCACCCAAAGACTTTCCGACAGCCACATCCTTGGTGCTTCGTTTGCTACCGAGTCCGGCCCAAGACATCGGTGGAGATCAGCTTTTGGATGTTGTCTATGCCTGTATGTTGCAGCTCGCTGAGTGAACTACTTGAAAGATGGGCTGTTGCACAAGTTTGTTGGGCTCATGAAGACAATCGCTCCGGAACACTTGACATGGTGGTGCCTCTCAAAAGGTACATGTCATGGCAATCTGTACGCATGGACATTGTCCACAGGGATTTGTGCGCCCTTCCACTCATGTTCATTTCAACCTGACCTTCTCATGTACATTGTGCTGCCCGCCTACTGGAAGTGCCAAACAGGCGGGCTTTCTGATGAGATAGTGCTTACGAAGCGCAGAAATGGAACACGGGCAAAGCAGAAAGCGGCAGGTCAGTCCTGTGGCCTCTATGGTAGAAGTTAGCCCCCAGATGCGCAAAAAATATGCATATTCCTGCTCTGTGTCAGCAATCCTCAACACAACTAAGCCACAAGGCTAGACACTTGGTACTGGGTGTGTTGGTTGTTCTTTTTCCAGGGGCCAAATTTCTAGCCAAAGCATTTGCAGATATTTGTGGACAGCCGACCTGCGTGCGTTTGCCTTTGAGAGTGATCCAACTGCCTAATGACCGTTCTGCACCGCAGTCAACCAGAAAGCAACGGCAATACAGGTAGCTCTCCCTGCTTTTCGGTGAACATCACTCTTCACTCCGCTTTTGAGTGAGCGGTCCGTGTTTAAAGGGAACAAACCAGCATGGACAACCTTGTGATGTGTCCCTCGTTTGATGCCTATCGAGCCTTGTTTAGGGTCACGCTGTTTTCAGCGCCCCACCCATCTGTGGTTGTTTTCAAGTATGGCATTCATTCGATCGTTGGGTGCATTTCTTTTGGTTTTAGCGGTGGTAGCTGCACGGGTCTGTCAGCGGTAGTTAACTAGCCAGGATTGAATCTCCAGTTGGTATAGCTGCCTCGGAACCTCTCTCAAGATGAGGTGCTGAAATTGGTTTTGGTTCCCAATGGTTATGATGACAAGGATGGGAATGACTTGACACAACTAATTTCACGCACAGCTGAGGTGTTCATTCAATTTATTGTGCTGTCTTTGGCTTCACGCCCATTCGCGCGTTTCTTATGGCCATTCACGCGCAGGGGCGCGGGTGTCTGCCTGCATGCACGTCACTTCAACACTTTATATTGGCTTTGCCTCGAATTAGCCGTGTCACTGCCACATGTTTGGAAGGTGGCCTTTTGAGCGAATGGATGTGTACTGGTGTGCGAACGAGTTTTGTTGTGAAGAGTGTGCTGGAACGAGTTTTGTTGTACTGATGTGCACTGGTGTATATACTAGTGCTAGAGCCAGAGTTTTGTTGTGAAGGGTGTGCGAACGACCCGCGCAGGATGCAGCTCTTCAGGCTCTGCGGCAAGCGCCAAAGACTAGCAGCGACCTCAGCCAATCTTTGGTCACATAGGTGTCTATGTGTGTTCTGGCCCATTGTTAAGTTGGTTTAAAGGGAAGCCAAATTGGAATCTGAAACCCGAAGCAAGCAGGGCGATTCAGTGCTGATGTCTGTGTTGAGGTGATGCCGCGTGGGATGGTATTGTAGTGCTTCACTTCATGTCAAAGCCGCATTGCTCACCTGGGTCTGGGTTGTCCCCACCTGATGCGTGGCTTCCTTTGAGCTACGCTGACAAAGATAAAGACTCTGCAAGCCGACATTCATTCCCTTCAGACATTGCCCCATGGTCGCAGTTGGGTTTTCCCTGCTGTCCTGACGGTGGAGTTTAGAACCTTTGCGCCGGGTCATATCAGATCCGCTTAGGATTTCGGGCAGCAGTGGCAAGGATCTTTACTGAGTGAAAAGGGCTGGAATCCTGTTGGCTCCCTTTGAAGAAGCCCAACAAACATGGTACAAGGAACACCCAACCAACGGTTTTGGCCCTGCGCGTGTGGACATCCTGCCACAAGGCGCCAGATGCTGGACCTCAGGCACGCACCTGTTGTGCACCAGGGAGGGGGTGCCCGGAAATCGAAAGAAGCTGAAATATGTTGTTCAGCAGCAATTGCATAAACCAGGTGGAAGAGGAAGGGAAAGTGAAGGATCCTTCTATGGGACACGATGGGACACCACCCAAGATTCATGAAACTAGCCAAACGTGTGGTGCTGGGCACGTCAATAAGGCGGGTATGTGTCAAAGCGAGCTTGGATGGGAACTCATGTCGAACCAACCACGTCCCCGAGTTTCGACACTGTGGATTTGTTCCCTGGCTGGTGGCTTCCAATTGCCTGCTGGTCACAACCCCATGGTCTTTAAAAAAAACTGTGAAGGCAATATTGTGCTTGTTTCAGCCGTGGAAACAGACAGATTTACATTGCAACATTTTGTGAATCTAGTCAATTCTGTTGAGCTGGCCTTGGCAATGGTCAGTGACAGGAGGATCTGGCAGCGCAAGATCCTGCGACCAGACTAAGGACGGGGGGAGGCTACGGCCCAAACAAGTCCAAGCACAGGCCAATCCAAGGAACCCAGTACGCCTACGGGACCCTTCATACATCTTTCTCTTTGTAGAAGATGAATACTGAACGGGGGGCCACGCTATTCTTGGGTGGGGATCAACTGACCTTCGCCAAACGGAGTGCAGTGTTTGCGTTTCCCTTATTCTAATCTCAATCAACATTTGTTCGAAGGATGGCGAGCTGGGTCTGACGGTTGCCTGGAGATTCAGGGCCCCCAAGATTTCCAAGTGTTTATCCGCCAAGGAATTCCTGGTTGCTGAGCATGTTTGGCTTGAAACCAAAAGCGTAGGCACACCTGTTGCCGGCGCGCCTGGCGGTGCCTACGAATGGAGACACCCTCCCACTTTCAGTTGATTGCCGAAAGCAAATGCTCGTCAACAAACCAATCGGGAGTTCCCATACGACTCCTAAAGCGGCCGCCCTTTGCTTAACGTGCAAAGTTTGAATCATTGGCACAGTGACGTCATTTAGGAATGCCTGAATGCCTTTGCCAAGCTATCGTGAGGGTGCACTAGGAACGATGCACCCCAGTCCACGTGGCACCTTGCCAGCTTTGCAGAAACTGAACGAACCTTGCCATTTTCTGAACACCCATATGGTGTATTTGTGTATACCAATCGATTAATCTACCGTCTGCAGCAACTTGGTATGTGATGTGAAGCGTGCTGTTTGCATTGCCTCTTTTTCCTTGGGGTGTGCAATCCAGTTCCTGGCTGGCACACGCCTTGAGAACTCTGCGGCTTCAGTATGGCCCAGACACCACAGTAGAGGGAGATATTGGCAAGTCACATGGCCAGATCCTGCAGGAGCATCTCTGAGGGAGCTGAGCTGTTGCAACTCGGAGCGTTGTGATTTGCCATTTTCATGATTGCTTGTTGAGGAATGGGCTTCTGCGGCATAGAGATCGAATGGCTGGTTTGGGGGTGCCGAATGCTTCAATTACATCCAATACTCCAAGGTGGTGCAGCTTTGTGTGCAAACTTATGTCACCTGGTGAGGCCTGGAAATAGAAACTTGACGAACATGAATCAAACTGGTCCCATGTTGCAGCAGCCAAGATGCAAGTGTTCCTTTGAACCCTTGGCAAAATGCTGGGATCAGTACTGTTTCAACAGGAAGGGTCAGACATTGGGCCAAAGTTGCATTTGGAATACGTGCCAGGAGGCAGCGTGCGCCCTGCCCGTGTTGCCAGTCTGAGAAGGGATTGCCAAGTGGCTGATAAGCGTTTCCACCAGGTTCAGGCTCCTGTTGTTCATGCTTGGTTGAAGGTGGACATGTTCATGGCTGGTTAAATAGGATGTGGTGTACAGACTTAGGCTTGCTTTAGAAGGTGTTTTGGCAGGTTTGTAAGCCTTGCAACACAGGCCAATGATAAGTGTAAATTCTGATTGCGACCATGATGACGCTGGCGACGCGCAAAGTCCAAATAATCTTTGTTATAAATGTCCAAGCACGCGATATATGCAGACATTGCAGAGGCGCAATATCCGTAGTTGAAGTGCAGGAGCAGGCTTGAAATAAAGTGACCCTCCCATTGGCTTGCACGGATATTTCTCATTATTTCTCCCTCTAGACAGCTTAGGCGAAGGGGTTTGGCCACTTTGCCCCTGTTTGCTTGCCAGGTTCAGAGCTGCTGCAGGTGGTCAGGCGGGTAGCAGCAGAGCTGGGAGTCCCTTACGAGGCGCAGAGCGGAGGGGAGCATGGGTTTGGGCGGTCGACACTCGGCGCGTTCTGAGGTCTTTGCCCTCAGCGCTAGTTTGTGCACTTCAACCAGTTCAACCTACACTTCAGCTACTTCTTACATTCAGAACTAGGCTCAATGTTTGGTAGCTGACCCCGGACATTGCAATTCAATTCAAAGAGTGGAAAGCAACCCGGCAAGACAGCGGAGTACCTTCAAGGAATAGCAGGCTCCTATTGGGGTCTCAACGCCAATGTCAATTCTTTGTATCATGTTTTTTTTGTTCTGGCGCAGCAGGAGCTCAATAGTCAACATTCTGTGATTCTGTGCGCTTGTGGCTTGGCAGCTCGATTGATCGGTGAAAGATACATATATGCAGCTTCCAACAGGCTGTCCAACTCCAAGATAAAACTTCTTCTGAGAAGGAGCAACTGTTCGCCATGTTTCTTCCATACATGTCATTCAGGCCAACGATTTCTGACGGTCGCCGTACACGACATCATACTGAGACCGTGCCTGGCTGTTGCTTGAGACGCAGCCTGGGCGCGGAAGTTACGTGTTCTGCATCTGAGAGGGGTGGTGCGCATGACCTTACAAGAACGAAGCGCTTGCCCTGGGTTTGTATCCAAGAACGAAGCCCGCACGTCCCGAGCCGCATCCCGAGCCGCACTGCAGCTCACTGAATTGAGGGACTGTCATTTTGCTGCTTTCCGGCGGTGTTGAGCTAAGCTTGGCTTGGTGCCATTGCATGTTCCCTTGAACAGGCCAAACCAGCACACATGTCCATCCCAGTTTGGGTTCCAAGAGTTTTCAGTTGGTGCTCGGTTGAGAGTTTTATGCCCAAAGGGCGTCACTTCTTCTATGGCTGCCGGGAAACCAAGCAACGCATACATATTTTCTTTCCCCAGAATTGATCCTCTGAAGTGCACTCGCGAGGGCGATGCCTTAAGCTTAGACTCCGCTGCTGCCGCGCTCTCAGCATCTGGTTCAAAATCGCGACATAGCAGTGGACAACCAGCAGTCGATCAATTCTTGGGCATCTATGCTTTTGTTTTGAGAGGATGTTGGGGGAGAACTCGCTTTCCACTATGCTTGCAAGTAACACCATTGCCCAGACCCTTCAAGCACCGCCAGATCAAACATCTGATCGTTTGCTCACTAAGCAGATTGATCAGTTCTTACCATTTTTTGTGCTTCCCAATGCTAGTCCATGGTTACAGCCAACAAGGTGACAGCCTTTTGTTTTCAATGACTTGGCGGAGTTTGTAAGTTTTTGACTGGCGACTGGCCATTTTCCGGCCGCCTTTTTTCTGCGACTTCTAGAGCGTAAAGCGCATGTTTTTTTATTGCAGTCCTTCCACTTTATGGATGGCCAATCTTCACATACCTTCACATCATCAAACTTCCAGCATTTCAGCTCCGGGTGCTCAGCGGATTGTGTTCAGCAACCTCGGCGATGCCATAAAACTGGAGGGTCGGTTTCATTTCGATTGCCATGGGACGTGGAGGCTTATCCACAGATCTCGGGTGGTGTTTCGTGTTTAGCCCGCAGCGAATCGACCGTTGGACCCTTTGGCTTCTGGTGATCTGTGCAGATCAGTTCCCAAGCAGCACACACACACATGTTTCTTGAAGGGTGGCATTTTCAGGTTGGTGGAATTGGAAAAGCCTGCAGTATTTTGACACATACTCTGATGTTTTTCAACAACGGGTGCTGTCACCGTTCAGGGAGGCTTTGTTTGAAGGTCTGGGGAAGTACAGTCTTCTGCCTTAGCCCAGATCCAACCAACCATTTGGACGTTTGGAGGGTTCTTGATCCATCCCCAAATCAATGTATAGGATGGGGGTCACATTCTGCGGGACCTTGTGCATTTCCCAGCAAGGAAGCCAATAGGTTGGTCAAGGGAATTGGCGCCAAGGAAGAGCTCCATGCCTAAGACTTCGGGATTACACAACTTAAGGTCGATTGAACCACCCTAGTACGGGTTTATTGTGGAATAGACCCAACTCAAATCTTGTGCGGCGAGGCCTTTGGCATCTTCACAAGCTAAGTTGTTTTGGGACATTTGAGCGGATCTCACTGCAAAAACCTTATTAGGCCGTGCGCTTTGCTGCCGCCTTGGAGACGCAGCTAGGCGCGGGCGGGACGGCGACCCTTCACTCGGTTGCTCGTTGGTTTTGGCGAAATACTTCCCGCGCACTAGCTTGGAGGCAACAACAAAAAATAAAAAACATGTAGTTTTACACACGCGCACACACACACACACACACGCTGCCAGTCCATGGGTTTCAGGTGTTTGTTTATTGTTTGCTCAGACAAGCATGGTGCCATGCTCGAGCCAAGATTTCCGTTTCTCAAGTGCATGTCAATTTGGGGATGCGTTGCAACGTTGTCACAATGGGGCTACTTGTGCGTCTAGTGACATGCTGTCCGACTTGAATGTGCGCCCTGATCCAAAGCAGCGTTTGAATCTATCCAGAAGAGTGTGAATGAATGAACAAGGACTGCTTCCGCGTGTGAGTGTGTATGTGTGTGTGTGTGTGTTTGTCTTTGTTCATGTATGTTGTGTCTCTGATTGGTTGCCTGTTTGCCTGCATGTTTGCATTTTGTTGTTTGTCCGTCTAAGGGTTGTGTTTCTTCTTTGTTTGCTAGCTTGCTTGCTTTCTTGCTTGCTTGCTTGCTTGCGTGTGTGTTTGTTTGTTTGTTTGTTTGTTTGTTTCTTTCTTTGTTTGTTTGTTTGTTTGTATTTTTGGTTGGTTGGTTGGTTGGTTGGTTGGTTGGTTGGTTGGTTGGTTGGTTGGTTGGTTGGTTGGTTGGTTGGTTGTTTGTTTGTTTGTTTGTTTGTTGTTTTGTTGTTTTGTTGTGTGTTTGTTTGTTTGTTTGTTTGTTTGTTTGTTTGTTTGTTTCTTTGTTTGTTTGGTTGGTTGGTTGGTTGGTTGGTCGTTTGGTCGTTTGTTTGTTTGTTTGATTGATTGCTTGCTTGTTTGTGTGTTTGTGTGTTTGTTTGTTTGTTTGTTTGTTTGTGTGTTTTGTTTGTGTTTTGTTTGTCTTGTTTGTTTGTTTGTTTGCTTGCTTGCTTGTGTTGTTACTTGTTTATTTATTGTTTTGTTTGTTTGTTTTGTTTGTCGTGCTTGTTTGTCGTGTTTGTTTGTTTGTTTGTTGGTTGGTTGGTTGGTTATGTTGTTTGGTTGTTTGGGTGTTTGTTTGTTTGTTTGTTTGTTTGTTTGTTTGTTTGTTTGTTTTGTTTGCGTGTTTTGTTTGTCTTGTTTGTCTTGTTTGTTTGTTTGTTTGTTTGTTTGTTTGCTTGTCTGTCGTTTGATTGTTTGCGTGTTTGTTTGTTGGTTTGTTTGATTGTTTGTTTGTTTTTTGCTTGTTTGTTTGTTTCTTTGGATGTTTGTTTGTTTGTTTGTTTGTTTGTTTGTTTGTTTGTTTGCATGTTGCTGTGTTTCTTGTGTTTTATATGTTTCTGCTGTATAGTTGTGTTATTTGTTTTCTTTGTTTCATTGCTTGTTTGATTGCTTGTTTGTTTTGTTTGTTTGTTTGGTTGGTTGGTCGGTTGGCTGGTTGTTTTGTTGTTATTTGTTGGTTTCCGTGTGTTGTTTGTTAGTGAGTGAGTGAGTGAATCAGTGAATCAGTGAATCAGTGAATCAGTGAATCAGTGAATCAGTGAGTGAGTGAGTGAGTGAGTGAGTGAGTGAGTGAGTGAGTGAGTCTGTCTGTCTGTCTGTCTGTCTGTCTGTCTGTCTGTCTGTCTGTCTGTCTGTCTGTCTGTCTGTCTGTCTGTCTGTCTGTCTGTCTGTCTGTCTGGTGCTCTTTCCGTTGTTTGTTCTCTTTGTTTGAGTGCTTTTGTAGTTGGTCGGTTGCTTGGTTGCTTGGTTGCTTGGTTGCTTGGTTGCTTGGTTGCTTGGTTGCTTGGTTGCTTGGTTGCTTGGTTGGTTGCTTGCTGGCGTGGTTGGTTTGCGGGCTTGCTTGTTTGGCTTGCTTTCTTGCCTGCTTGCTTGCATGCTCGCTTGCTTGTGTCTTTCGCCTTTGCCTTTGCTGCTTGGTTCGGCGTGGCTTGCTGTTTGGCTTTGTGCGGTTAGTTTAGCCTTCTGTCATGTTTCTTTGTTTGCCTTGTTGCTTGATTGGTGTGTATGCTGTATGTTGGTGGGTTTGGACAAGTTTGTGTGTGTTTTGTTGTTTAAGCGTTCTTACTTGGCTTGTTTTTGGCAAAATGGACCCATGGCAACCGCTTTCTGTGTGTTGCTGTTCAGCTTGGATACGGTTGTTTTTTTTTTGAAATCGAGGAAAGGGCCCTGTATTTTGGATGGTTTCGCATGTAAACCCGCTACCTGAATGCGATCCATTGCTCATTGTTATTTGGATGCCCTGGCGCATTCACTTGGACTCGTTGCAAGCAGCCAACTTCCGGCGTGTTAAATCCCTCCAACTAGAGGTATAGGCATTACTTGCATATCGAAATCAGTGACCAGGTTGTTCAGCTTAGACTTGGCTGATCAAGTTAGTTTGACTTGCAGTCTTGCAATCTATGTTCACGAGTACGTCTTTGCAACATTGAGCATCCAGCCTTTATCGCTTTTGCTAACATTCAATACTGCGAACGTGAGCAGGTTCGTATTCATCCCTGGGACAGGGCGGAGTCCGTGTGCATGAGGACGGAAGTGGTCCAATATCCAGAGTCCCTGCGGTCCTGTGATAAACAGATCCCTTTGCCTTGGAAGTATGCTTGGTAGGAGTGAACACGTTATATTCTATGCCACCTGCCACTGCAAACAACCCACCCAATCCAACAATTCAACGGATTCAACGATTCAGCCCCATCAATTCAACTTCCCTGTGCTGAAATATCAAACTCCGGGTCCTCACCCAGCCTTATCCAGCCTAACTCGAGCTCGTGGCTCGAGGTTGGCGTTTGCCTGCTACGCTGCTTTTTGACTACCCCAGTATCTCCGAGCTCGTGGATCGAGGCTGTGGGTTTAGACTCGGCTCGAGGCTTATGTCGAATTCAAAGCAGACTTTGCCCAGCCCACGTCGAGGGCACCGTGACACACATGCACCTGCTGACGCAAATAATAGACACTGAACTCTCACATGCTTCACTTGTCTAGCAGCCTTGGCCGGTTCAACCTTTTCTGAGAACGCGCAGTGTACATCGAGGAGCATGTTTATACAATCAGAAACAAAAGCCGAAGTGCTTGAATCAACACTGCTTCCGCCAGGCTAATGGGATACCGTGGATTCTGTCACTGATTGTTCGCTTTGGATGTAACCTTGTTCGGAGTATCGGTACGAAGCAAACTGGTCAGAACTTTGGCTCACCCTCACCTTGCGACAGCGCTGTGTTTCAGCTTCACGGAATGTGGTGTTTGCCTTTGGCGGTGGTCATCGAGCGCAGAGTTGGCGTAAGCCTCAAACGATGCCTAAAAACCACAAGGGTTGAGAATAGGTCCTTTGGTATTCCTTTTCCAGGGGCCAAATTTCCGTTTCCGGGGGGCTTGGCCAAGCGAACTCGTATTGCCACTCTTCATCCTTTGGGGTTGGCTCATGCGCGTGCTTCGAGGCATAGGGTGAAGGTATAGACTTGTTTTCCCTTTACGTGGGTATGTGTAAAGTGTGGGAATTCTGCCATCTACTCTCACCCAATTATACCCTTGTTGTAAATGTGTTTGCTTTAAAGGGCAAGCAATAGGATCGCTCGTTTTGGGAGTTTCCCTCAAAACAGACGAGCCCAGATTGCAGCCTCAACCGCGACCCTCAGGGCTACAGCCTAGAGATGGCACGAGCTCCTTTGTGCACGTTTCCGCGTGCGAGGCGCGGCAAAAAAGCACATGTGGTCAGGGCATTACTAGGGCTGCGCCCAAGTGAACAGGGGGTCCTTTCGCCTGTTGAGGATGCGCACTATTGATCTATAGTACATGAGGGGCAATATTGGGGACGCCTGGGTTCATTGGTCAGCTAGGTTCAGACTTAATTGTGCACCGGGGCAACACTTCAGCGCTAAACAGGGGACACTGCTTGGCAATCAAGCAGCGGTGGGAATCTGGCTGCCGCAACATAGTTGCTTAAATCTGAAGGAAGTAGAACAGGACCTTTAGCAAACATGTCCCGCCGGCAGTTGTAATCATTTCCTCTGCCTCTTAGTTAGCTTTAGTACACTGTCCGAGGGATTCATGTTCTCATGTTCTCATGTTCCAATGGTCGTGGTAGTACGTTCAGCAAAGATGAGGCTCGCTGGTTGAGCTGTTGCTCGTAGCTCGTATGTGTGTGTGTGGGTGTGTGTGTGTGTGCGTGCGTGCGTGCGTGCGTGCGTGGGTGTGAGTGTGTGTGTATGTGGTAATGTCATTGGCTTTTAGTGTATGATACCTCTTTTTTGCCTTCAGTTGTTCTTATTGATTGTTGTTGCTATGTTGCCGGTTCTGTCTTTGCATTATTTCTGTTGTGTCGTTCTGTGTGATGCCTACTTGTGAGTGGCTAGGAGTGGTTACGATGGTTGTTCGTTTGGTTATCGCTGTTGCCTTGACTGTTTGTGCTAGTTGTGTGCCATTCATGCTATTAAAATTGATCGATTGTTTGCTTGCTTGTTTGGTTGGTTGGGTGTTTGGACGGAAGGTTGTTGTTCTTTTTGTTGCTTGCTTGCTTGCTTGCTTGCTTGCTTGCTTGCTTGCTTGCTTGCTTGCTTGCTTGCTTGCTTGCTTGCTTGCTTGCTTTCTTGTTTGTTTGTTTGCTTGTTTGTTTGTTTGTTTGTTTGTTGGTTGGTTGGTTGGTTGGTTGTGTGTTTGATTGGCTGTGTTGTTTGTATATTTTTTGTTTGTTTGTCTGGGCTGTTTTGTTTTGTTGTGTTTGTTTGCTTGCTTGCTTGCTTGTTGGTTTGTTTGTTTTTGCGTGTTTGTGTTTGTTTGTCGTTTGTGTTGTGGGATTCTGTTTAATTTACTTGTGTGTGTCCCTTGTTTGTTCGTGTTTGATGTTTTCTGTTATTAAAATATTATTTTGGGTTTGCTCGCTTTCTTGCTTGCTTTCTTGCTTGTGTTCTTGCTTGTGTTCTTGCTTGTGTTCTTGCTTGTGTTCTTGCTTGGTTGCTGCTTGTTTGCTGCCTTGCTTGTTGCTTATTTGTTTGTCTTTGTTGTTGTTTGTTCATTCCTTTGTGTTTTATTGATTGGTCATGTCTTTGATTCGTTCTTGCGTGTTTTCTATGTTTCTATTGCTTTAATTGGTTGGGTTGGGTTTGGCTTTTTACTTTCGCCTTAACCTTGGCTCTCGCCCGTCGCCAGGGCGGCCCGGGCGTTTTGATCTCGGCTTGCTGGGAATTGCCGGGGGCCAGCAACGAGGCCGGGGAGCGGTGTTTCTTGGCTGGCAAACTGGCGGTTTGAACAGGAGCTGGAGATTCAGGTCCAACAACCACTGTGAGCCTTCAAATGAGGTTGAAGTTATCCGTCTTTCATTGTGATTTGCTGCGAGCTGGTCGCCGGTCGATTTTTTGGGGCAACTCAAATCGCCATGTTTCGCCCGAGGTTTCCTTCTTGGGGGCCCATTTCAGGTCGAATTGGCGTATTGTGATTCCCCAGTGCTCAGGAAAATGGGCCTGTTTTGAACGGTTTTGAAGGAATGGAAAGAGAAGCCAACTTGTGGGAGGGCAACACCTAATGTAAACGGGGGTTGTAAACCAGTTAGGCGTCAGTTCCCTTCTACCTACCGTTGATTGGGGGGTCGACTATGAGTATGGCAAAGTGCAATTCCGACCCAGTCAGTATGTTTGCATTGATAGTTTCTGAAACGCCGATGTTCATCTAAAATGAGCGCCTGTGTTTGCTCCCTCCAGACAAAGCGCCAAGTAATTGCCCCAGGAAGCTCTAGGTATACTTTATGGTGCGATACTATATATCGCTGTTGCGCGTTCCCCTTCACACACACACATACACACACACGCACGCACACACACACACACATACGCAGCATGTTGTTGGGCATGATTGTTTGCAAAAGTCCACAGGGTCTAAATGCCAAGCCAGGGCCAACTACATGAAACATGTGTAAGTCACTGCTCTTTCACATGCTAATGTAGGGTTTAATTGGATTCCAGATGTAAAGAGGTAGATGATCTGTTAGCTGAAACCATTTTTTGACCATACCCCTTCTATATCTATCCCCTTGCGGTGCGCGTTTTGAGGTTTTTGGTTTTCGGTCCGTGCCAGGTGCTGTGGTCCAGGCTAGAGAACCAGGCGAGGCTGAGGAAGATGTCCGCGCGCCGGGGATGGAAGTGGGCCGGTTGGCGTGGGGACCCAATTCCCCCACACATGGCCAATGGCGAATGAGGGGAACATAGGAGTCAGCTGATGATGGATCTAGCCATTGGGACATTGGGGGGCTTGCGCTCATTTCCACGGGTAGCCGTTCCCGGCAATTCTGATGCGTCTTTTTTTCCACATCGAGTCAACGGACTCTGACCTTTTAGGCTTCCAGTTGTGATGTGCTGGTAGTCCAGCGGGGCCGTTTTGCAGCACGGGAACTGAGGCGTTCGAAATCCCAACTTCTAGAATACCTAAGGGAGCTGCGTTTGAAGGGACGCTGTGTAGGAGTTTGGCCCTTTACTATTGCGTATGTCCAGGTACTTTTTGGGTGCCTGCTTGGAGTTAAAGGGTGCTGCTTTTAGACTCATAGATTGATAGATTGTTAAAATTGAAATCCCCTGCACAGGAAACCCATTTTTCTACCAGGTAAAATGCCCGCACAAATTTGTTTGTTTTTGCTTTGTTTGTATTTTGCCAATTGGATGTGTTCATTCAGGCTCCAGTTGATTTCCGTTGTCACCTCTATTTGCCTGATCCCTTTCCATTAATTTTAACAGAGCTATCACTTTGGCCGAAGGTGGGTTGGCGCATGTAACTTCGTGAGACCTTCAGAAACCCTTCCAGAGTCATAGGTGTTTGTTTCAGGTGAGTTCACTTGAAGCTAGATGCCCCTGGTTTCAGTTCCGCTCCATACCGCTTCCATCTAGGCGTCCAAAAGGATGCTTAACGAGAACCTCGTACCTCCTTTTGTCTGCGGGGGCGTTTAAGTTTCCGTTTCACTTTGCTTCGGTGGAGCATCCCTCGGGTAAGCAGGTGCGATCAAGGGACTTTACAATGTGTCCGCTCTTTCTGCACGCCAAACCAAAAAAGACAAATCCAGTGACGGATGTAGGCAATGTATGCAAAATACACATCTGCCACGCGAAAGCTACTTCAAGGTCAAAGCGTTAAAGGCTTGGGCCTGGATCGTAAAGGCTTGGGCCTGGATCCATCGAACGGCTGAACAAGACTCATAGGGCTTTGGTGGCATCACAAAGGGCACGACATTTAGCACCTTTCAGCATCAAAACGGCTTTCTCCTGTCAGGTGGATGAAGTGCGGGAGATTCCGCTTTGCAGGCACAGAAAGAATGGGTGATGGTTATACTTGCACGATATCCTGTCTCCTCGGTCCTTGTTCTCCCTTTGTGTGCCTTGTCAGCGTTTCAGCCAGATGGAGGACACTCATTTTTTGCCAACCTGTGGCAAGCCGACCAAGTCACGGACCTTTCGAACGCATGGACACCCAACTGGTAAGCCCGTGTGCGTCAGCGAGGGCGCCCTGCCGTAAGATGTTGGGTTTCTCACACAAGGGGCGGCCACTAACATGTGGTGCTGCATGTTCAATGATATCAAAAGGAGAAAGAGAGAAACAGGAACTTACTTCCTTTTTGGAGGGCTCCCTATGTTTGGACTTAAATGATTTATCCATCTCCTGATCCATGTTTTTCCTTGCTTCCCCCTTAGAAGCTGTGCTTCCATCCTATTGGCCACTGAAGAACTTCCGCGACCTGAGCCTGGTAACCTGGCTGCCGCATTTTGCTGATCTAGGCTGTACTCTTTCTAGGGGTTGCTGTGAAGGAAAACGACATGAATCCGCCGTTTAAGGGGCTCGCACATTTGGAGACAAACATCCACATGGCTGCTCTTCTGTTTGACCTGAAGCACCAGCCAATCAATGGGCAAGTCAGTCACCCCTTTGCCATCTCAGTGGTCAGCTAAAGCTAACAATGAAAAGACATCTATTGGATCTCTAGTCCGATGCCAACTCATTGGGCCCTTGTCGTCAGTCGCTGCCTAGTTTTAAGTTTGCCCAGATGTACCGATGCCCCTAAGCAGCTGGGTATAGGCGATACAAAAACTCGGCGCGCCGGCGCAGGTGGGATTGGACGGAGACCAATACCTCCGAATCTCTAGGCTTCGGCTTTTGGCTGGGAGGGGGTGACGTGATTTGCGAGGCTTTGGTCCGAACAGTGCGAAGTGACAGTACGGGAGCCTTTAGACAGGTTCCTGGACCTTCCATTGTTACATAAATGTGCGTCACGAAAAAAAACAACTGCTCGGGCCAACTATGTTTGCTCAATGATCCAAAAAGTGCTCGTTCCCCCAAAAAAGATCGTTTCATGAGCACGGGCGTCTTGCAAATACCAATTGTTACATGATTTGGATTTGCTGCGCCCGTGTTGCGAGTGTTTGCGCCCGTTTTGTGGGTATGTTTCCACATGTTTCCACGCAACACACTTTTTGAGAGGAGAGAAGCCGCCGCAATAGCCAAAAGTGCTCGAATCCAAATTTGCGCGCGTTCCCCCGAACAACGCCCGATTTGCAAATTTCTGCTATGAAACACCCAAGGGACACAAATTTATGTATCGAATGAAGGTTCAGGTTTGTAGCATCCTTCTTAGGTGGGAGCAGACCGCTTATTTTTCGCTAGGCTGGGCCTCTTTTCCGCCCGATTATGTTCAAGCCAGCCCGGCCTTGCAGCCTAGTCCAAGCTTTGATTTTGCCAGAACTTTGTCTTTACGTATGGGCTTCATGAAGTTTCATGTCAGGTTGGTTGAACACAGATGGCACTGGTTTCACTTTAGTTCTGACCGCTGACTTCTATCATTGGCTGGCATCTTAGTGCATGGCAGCTTCCGAACACGTATTCCGAGCTATTTTAGCTTGTGACCAGCATAGACCCCAGATAGCAAACACTGCACCAGCACCCCAAACTGCATGCCCCCTGGCACCCTGCCCTCAATCTTGCAAAAATGCGCCTCGTTGTCACCAGCACCTCCAGCACCCCGAACAGCATCCTGCCGTCAATCTGAAGCAGCATCACCCAAAACACCTGCCAAACTGCATACCCAGCCGCCAATCTCGCAAAAAAATCGTCACCAGCACCTCAAGCAACCCTGGACCAGCACCCCAAACTGCATGCCTCCTAGCACCCGGCCGTCAATCTCGGAAAAATGCTCCCGCACCGTCGCTAGCACCTCAAACAGCACCACAAGCAGCAACCCAAAACAGCACCTGCACCAGGACCCTCAAATCGTATGCATGTAGCACCCTGCTGTCAATCTCGCAAAAATGCGCCTGCGCCGTGACCAGCACACCAAAGCAGCCCAGCCGCCAAACTCGCAAATCACTTTCCCCTCTTTATTAGAAGTTAGAACATGTTCGAACCCCACAGCTTTCAGCCATCTGGGGAAATCTGGCGCCCAGAACCAACGTGGCATCATATTTGCTTTATTATCATTGCAGCACGTGCAATTGGGTGGGTCATCCCCAGGCTCTACTTTGAGCTGTAGAGTGATGGTTCTTCGGGTCAATGCACAAACACTGGCTCCAACTTCAGTTTCCAAAAGCTATTTTCAAGGAAACACACAGAGGAAGCCAACTCAACATGTTTAAACAACAACGTTTGCCGCATAAAGAGGGGGATTGTCGATGGTTTGTGGCCCAACTTTGGTGACAAGACATTTGGGATCGTCTAGTCTTTGGAAGACGCACAGGAGTCGGACGAAAGAACAACACGCAGTTTTGATACGTTCCCCACTACCTAGCCAACAATGACCCAATGCCTCCCACCCACAGAGCTGCGAGCGAGCCGCGAGTTGCGAGCGAGCCGCGAGAACGCGAGGCTATCGGCACGCCAGTTTTCTCGAGGGTGCCGAGCAATTCGATGCACGCTTCTTCGGCCCGGTGCTCAAAGCGACAGGCACGCAGTGGGACACTGTTTCAATCCCTTTCCCAGTGCTTCCCAAGCCACTGTAGGCAACCCTTCGGCATTTTTACCTTGCGTGAGTTCCCGGACAATGTGAGGTGAAAATGCGTGGTATTCTTCTTTATTTTAACGCCTCCGGCTCAGGCCGCCGACATTACTGGCCTGCTTTCTTATTTGCGTCCCTTTGGAATTGTCCCCTTGCCCCCTTCCCCTCTGAGATTTTTGCCCCCCTTTCTTTGTTGAGATCCATTCCCCCTTTCCGCCCTAAGGCCTTTTCTCCCTCTGATTTTTTCCCTTTTCCTCCCTAAGATGTTTTCCCCCCTCTCCTTGTTGAGATCCTTTCCCCCCTTTCCCCCCTAAGGCCTTTTCCCCCCTGAGATCTTCTCCCTTTTCCTCCCTTTCGCCCACTTCCCCCCCTACGGCCTTTTCCTCCCTGGGATCTTTTTCCTTTCCTCCCTGAGATCTTTCCCCCCCTTTCCCTGTTGAGATCCTTTCGCCCCTTTCCCCCCTACGGCCTTTCCCCCCGCTGAGATCGTCTCCATATTCCTCCTTAAGATCCTTTTCCTTCCTAAGATTGTTTCCCCCCTTTCCCTGTTGAGATCCTTCCCACCCTTTCCCCCCTCAGGCCTTTCCCCCCCTGAGAGCTTCTCCCTTTTCCTTCCTTAGATCTTTCCCCCCTTTCCCTGTTGGCCTTTTTTCCCCCAGATCTTCTCCCTTTCCTCCCTAAGATCTTTTCCACCCCTTTCCCTGTTGAGATCATTTCTCCCCTTTCCCCCCTACGGCCTTTGCCCCCAGATCTTCTCCCTTTCCTCCCTAAGATCTTTCCCCCCCTTTCCCTGCTCAGATCCTTTCCCCCCTTTCCCCCCTAAGGCCTTTCCCCCCCTGAGATCTTCTCCCTTTTCCTCCCTAAGATCTTTTGCCACCTTTCCCTGTTGAGATCCATTCCCCCTTTCCCCCCTAAGGCCCTTTCTCCCTCTGAGTTTTTCCCTTTTCCTCCCTACGATGTTTTCCCCCCTCTCCCTGTTGAGATCCTTTCCCTCCTTTCCCCCCTAAGGCCTTTTTCCCCCCGCGATCTTCCCCCTTTTCCTTCCTAAGATCTTTTCCCCCCTTTCCTTGTTGAGATCCTTTCCCCTCTTTCCCCCCTAAGGCCTTTCCCCCCCAAGATCTTTTCCCTTGGTTGAGATCCTTTCCCCCTTTCCCCCCAAGATCTTCTCCCTTTTCCTCCCTAGGATCCTCTCCCACCTTTCCCTGTTGAGCTCCTTTCCCCCTTTTCCCCCTAAGGCCTTTTCAGATCTTCTCCCTTTTCCTCCCGAAGATCCTTTGCCCCCTTTCCCTGTTGAGATCCTTTCCCCCTTTCCCCCCTAAGGCCTTTTCCCTGCCTGGGATCTTCTCCCTTTCCTCACTGAGATCTTCCCCCCCCTTTCCCTGTTGAGATCCTTTCCCTCCTTTCCTTCCTAAGGCCTTTCCCCCCGCTGAGATCTTCTCCCTATTCCTCCTTAAGATCCTTTGCCCCCTTTCCCCGTTGAGATCCTTTCCCCCCTTCCCTTTAAGGCCTTTCCAGATCTTTTCCTTTTTCCTTCCTAAGATTGTTTCCCCCCTTTCCCTGTTGAGATCCTTCCCACCCTTTCCCGCCAAAGGCCTTTCCCCCCTGAGAGCTTCTCCCTTTTCCTTCATTAGATCTTTCCCCCCTTTCCCTGTTGGCCTTTTTTCCCCCAGCTCTTCTCCCTTTCCTCCCTAAGATCTTTCCCCCCCCCCCCTTTCCCTGCTGAGATCCTTTTCCCCCTTTCCCCCCTAAGGCCTTTCCCCCCCCTAAAAGCTTCTCCCTTTTCCTTCCGAAGATCTTTTCCCCCCTTTCCTTGTTGGGCTTTCCCCCCTAAGTCCTTTTCTCCCAGATCGTCTCCCTTTCCTCCCTAAGATCTTTCCCCCCCCCCCTTTCCCTGCTGAGATCCTTTTCCCCCTTTCCCCCCTAAGGCCTTTCCCCCCCCTAAAAGCTTCTCCCTTTTCCTTCCGAAGATCTTTTCCCCCCTTTCCTTGTTGGGCTTTCCCCCCTAAGTCCTTTTCTCCCAGATCGTCTCCCTTTCCTCCCTAAGATCTTCCCCCCCCTTTCCTCCTTAAGATCTTTCCCACCCTTTCCCTGTTGAGATCCTTTCCCCCCTTTCCCTCCCAAGGCCTTTCCCCCCCCTGAGAGCTTCTCCCTTTTCCTTCCTAAGATCTTTTCCCCCCTTTCCCTGTTGGGCTTTCCCCCCTAAGTCCTTTTCTCCCAGATCTTCTCCCTTTCCTCCCTAAGATCTTCCCCCCCCTTTCCTTCCTAAGATTGTTTCCCCCCTTTCCCTGTTGAGATCCTTCCCACCCTTTCCCCCTGAGGCCTTTCCCCCCTGAGAGCTTCTCCCTTTTCCTTCCTTAGATCTTTCCCCCCTTTCCCTGTTGGCCTTTTTTCCCCCAGATCTTCTCCCTTTCCTACCTAAAAATCTTTTCCACCCCTTTCCCTGTTGAGATCATTTCTCCCCTTTCCCCCCTACGGCCTTTGCCCCCAGATCTTCTCCCTTTCCTCCCTAAGATCTTTCCCCCCCTTTCCCTGCTCAGATCCTTTCCACCCTTTCCCCCCTAAGGCCTTTCCCCCCCTGAGATCTTCTCCCTTTTCCTCCCTAAGATCTTTTGCCACCTTTCCCTGTTGAGATCCATTCCCCCTTTCCCCCCTAAGCCCTTTCTCCCTCTGAGTTTTTCCCTTTTCCTCCCTACGATGTTTTCCCCCCTTTCCTTGTTGAGATCCTTTCCCGCCCTTTCCCCCCTAAGGCGTTTTCCCCCCCAAGATCTTCTCCCTTTTCCTCCCTAAGATCCTTTGCCCCCTTTCCCTGTTGAGGTCCTTTCCCCTCTTTCCCCCCTAAGGCCTTTCCCCCCCTGAGATCTTCTTCCTTGTCCTCCCCAAGATCTTGTCCCTTGGTTGAGATCCTTTCCCCCTTTCCCCCCCAAGATCTTCTCCCTTTTCCTCCCTAGGATCCTCTCCCACCTTTCCCTGTTGAGCTCCTTTCCCCCTTTTCCCCCTAAGGCCTTTTCAGATCTTCTCCCTTTTCCTCCCGAAGATCCTTTGCCCCCTTTCCCTGTTGAGATCCTTTCCCCCTTTCCCCCCTAAGGCCTTTTCCCTGCCTGGGATCTTCTCCCTTTCCTCACTGAGATCTTTCCCCCCCTTTCCCTGTTGAGATCCTTTCCCTCCTTTCCTTCCTAAGGCCTTTCCCCCCGCTGAGATCTTCTCCCTATTCCTCCTTAAGATCCTTTGCCTCCTTTCCCCGTTGAGATCCTTTCCCCCCTTCCCTTTAAGGCCTTTCCAGATCTTTTCCCTTTTCCTTCCTAAGATTGTTTCCCCCCTTTCCCTGTTGAGATCCTTCCCACCCTTTCCCGCCAAAGGCCTTTCCCCCCTGAGAGCTTCTCCCTTTTCCTTCCTTAGATCTTTCCCCCCTTTCCCTGTTGGCCTTTTTTCCCCCAGATCTTCTCCCTTTCCTCCCTAAGATCTTTTCCACCCCTTTCCTGTTGAGATCATTTCTCCCCTTTCCCCTCTAAGGCCTTTGTCCCCAGATCTTCTCCCTTTCCTCCCTAAGATCTTTCCCCCCCCCCCCTTTCCCTGCTGAGATCCTTTTCCCCCTTTCCCCCCTAAGGCCTTTCCCCCCCCTAAAAGCTTCTCCCTTTTCCTTCCGAAGATCTTTTCCCCCCTTTCCTTGTTGGGCTTTCCCCCCTAAGTCCTTTTCTCCCAGATCGTCTCCCTTTCCTCCCTAAGATCTTCCCCCCCCCTTTCCTCCTTAAGATCTTTCCCACCCTTTCCCTGTTGAGATCCTTTCCCCCCTTTCCCTCCCAAGGCCTTTCCCCCCCCCTGAGAGCTTCTCCCTTTTCCTTCCTAAGATCTTTTCCCCCCTTTCCCTGTTGGGCTTTCCCCCCTAAGTCCTTTTCTCCCAGATCTTCTCCCTTTCCTCCCTAAGATCTTCCCCCCCCCTTTCCTTCCTAAGATTGTTTCCCCCCTTTCCCTGTTGAGATCCTTCCCACCCTTTCCCCCTGAGGCCTTTCCCCCCCTGAGAGCTTCTCCTTCCTTAGATCTTTCCCCCCTGTCCCTGTTGGCCTTTTTTCCCCCAGATCTTCTCCCTTTCCTCCCTAAGATCTTTTCCACCCCTTTCCCTGTTGAGATCATTTCTCCCCTTTCCCCCCTAAGGCCTTTGCCCCCAGATCTTCTCCCTTTCCTCCCTAAGATCTTTCCCCCCCTTTCCCTGCTCAGATCCTTTCCCCCCTTTCCCCCCTAAGGCCTTTCCCCCCCTGAGATCTTCTCCCTTTTCCTCCCTAAGATCTTTTGCAATTTTTCCCTGTTGAGATCCATTCCCCCTTTCCCCCCTAAGGCCCTTTCTCCCTCTGATTTTTCCCTTTTCCTCCCTAAGATGTTTTCCCCCCTCTCCTTGTTGAGATCCTTTCCCCCCTTCCCCCCTAAGGCCTTTTCCCCCCGCGATCTTCCCCCTTTTCCTTCCTAAGATCTTTTGCCCCCTTTCCTTGTTGAGATCCTTTCCCGCCCTTTCCCCCCTAAGGCGTTTTCCCCCCCAAGATCTTCTCCCTTTTCCTCCCTAAGATCCTTTGCCCCCTTTCCCTGTTGAGATCCTTTCCCCCCTTTCCCCCCTAAGGCCTTTGCCCCCCTGAGATCTTCTCCCTTGTCCTCCCCAAGATCTTTTCCCTTGGTTGAGATCCTTTCCCCCTTTCCCCCCGAGATCTTCTCCCTTTTCCTCCCTAGGATCTTCTCCCACCTTTCCCTGTTGAGCTCCTTTCCCCCTTTTCCCCCTAAGGCCTTTTCAGATCTTCTCCCTTTTCCTCCCTAAGATCCTTTGCCCCCTTTCCCTGTTGAGATCCTTTCCCCCTTTCCCCCCTAAGGCCTTTTCCCTGCCTGGGACCTTCTCCCTTTCCTCACTGAGATCTTTCCCCCCCTTTCCCTGTTGAGATCCTTTCCCCCCTTTCCCCCCTACGGCCTTTCCCCCCGCTGAGATCTTCTTCCTATTCCTCCTTAAGATCCTTTGCCCCCTTTCCCTGTTGAGATCCTTTCCCCCCTTCCCTTTAAGGCCTTTCCAGATCTTCTCCCTTTTCCTTCCTAAGATTGTTTCCCCCCTTTCCCTGTTGAGATCCTTCCCACCCTTTCCCCCCTCAGGCCTTTCCCCCCCCTGAGAGCTTCTCCCTTTTCCTTCCTTAGATCTTTCCCCCCTTTCCCTGTTGGCCTTTTTTCCCCCAGATCTTCTCCCTTTCCTCCCTAAGATCTTTTCCACCCCTTTCCCTGTTGAGATCATTTCCCCTTTCCCCCCTAAGGCCTTTGTCCCCAGATCTTCTCCCTTTCCTCCCTAAGATCTTTCCCCCCCCCCCCTTTCCCTGCTGAGATCCTTTTCCCCCTTTCCCCCCTAAGGCCTTTCCCCCCCCTGAGAGCTTCTCCCTTTTCCTTCCTAAATCTTTTCCCTTTCCCTGTTGGGCTTTCCCCCCTAAGTCCTTTTCTCCAGATCTTCTCCCTTTCCTCCCTAAGATCTTTTCCCCCCCTTTCCTCCCTAAGATCTTTCCCACCCTTTCCCTGTTGAGATCCTTTCCCCCCTTTCCCTCCCAAGGCCTTTCCCCCCCTGAGAGCTTCTCCCTTTTCCTTCCTAAGATCTTTTCCCCCCTTTCCCTGTTGGCCTTTTTTCCCCAGATCTTCTCCCTTTCCTCCCTAAGATCTTTTCCACCCCTTTCCCTGTTGAGATCATTTCTCCCCTTTCCCCCCTAAGGCCTTTTTGCCCCAGATCTTCTGCCTTTCCTCCCTAAGATCTTTCCCCCCCCCCCCAGTTCCCTGTTGAGATCATTTATTTCCCCCCTTTTCCTTCTAAGGCCTTTTCCCACCCTCAGTTCTTCTCCCTTTTCCTCCCAAAGATCTTTCCCCCCCTTTCCTCCCTAAGTCCTTTTCCCTGAGTTCGTCTCCCTTTGCCTCCCTAAGATCTTTTCCCCCCTTTCCCGCTTAAGATCCTTTAAAGTCTTTTTCCCCCTTTCCCGTTTGAGATCCTGTCCCCCCATTGCCCCTTAGGGCCTGTTCCCCCCGAGAAAGATTTCCCTTTTCCTCCCAAAGATCTTTTCCCCCCTTTCCCCCTTAAGGCATTTTTTCCCCAGATCTTCTCCCTTTCCTCGCTGAGATCTTTCCCCCCCTTTCGCTGTTGAGATCCTTTCCCCCTTTCCCCCCTTCATTTCCTTCACCGCATGGGCAACATCCCCAGCATCACTTGCATCATCCGCATCCTTGGCAGGCGCTGATGTGGATGATGCAGGTGTTGCTGGCGATGTGCCGCTGGAGCTGCTAAGGCGAAAGCGCACCCGAGGGGGAATCGATCACCCCAATGTTTTTGACAAACTGAGCCCGCACAATGAACAGATTTAGTGAAGCGTCTTCGAATCACCGCGTGGTACGTGGACCCCCCCCCCCCCCCCGCAATAGTCTGAAATGGTGCCGGGGTAACAGGTAAAGAGGTAAGGAGCATTTTTTGTGTCCAACACGCCATCTGTTGTCGGCGGATTTGGGGAACCCACTAAGCATGGTCAACCTCAAAAACGCTTCTCTTCCAGGGTCACTGGGCAGCAAGGGGCAGGGGTTCGATACGCGGCTTTGTCTCCAAATACGGAACGGTCCCCTTTTGTTTCCCGTTGAAACAACCCCAAAGATAAGCTGCTCAAAGGCTGATGCACAACTCGTATGAATTGATGGTGATATTAGACGGGATGTCAGCTCGAACCCTTACCTATGCAGGTACGCTCCTTGACATTTGCCTGGGAAGTTGACAATAGGTCACACAAGGTGGCAACATGTGGCAACCCATAGAAGCCGCAGGGTCTTGTCATGTCGCTCTGATTTCCAGCGTGCGCCTTTCCAGAATCTTGGGGTCCATGGAGTCGGGGTCGATGGTTTTCTCTCCAGCCCCTAAGGTGGCCAAGCAACTCTTTCGGGGGATTTTGCGAAGCTTTGCCTCGAGGCCTCATGTAAATACAGAGCCACAGCGGGATGCAACTGCAGTAGACAGTTGGGTTAGGGTGTGGTGTGTTTGTGTGTGTGTGTGCTTTGTTTGAGGGTACCTTTCTGGGGTTGGTTCAAAGGCAAAACGATGGGGCACCACGCATTCTGGTGGGAATCCTACTGTAAGAACAATTAATGTGGATCAATTTGGGCTAGCAGTCTAGCCTGATTATGCGTTGAAACTGTTTAAGACTCGCGTTGCACACAAGGACAACCTGGCCTTTGGGCTAGCCCCTGCATGCCTTTTGCTCGCCCCTTGGCCCTCAACCTCGAAGCGTGCCATGTTGGGTCTAAGAATCAAAGTCAATTTGAGGGTGCCCATATTCGACACAAACCCGAATGCGTTTCCCTCTGCACGCCAGACACATCCAGGCACTGTTGCATCCCCCCGGAGCAAAGCGTTCAATGGATTGCACCGTATCAGCCCTTGGACTTGGGCCCATGGTTTGCCGTTAGACCTTGCCAAATGCATGGGCCCCTTAAAATAGGTGCATAGGCGGTCAACAGCTTCCTGACCGTATCTATATCTACTATTGTGGAAGCTGGTAGGAGGGTCTCGATGGACCAGCGTACACTTGAATGATTCATGGAAAACGGGGTCTTTGCAACCCATCAGATTCTTCTGAGCATGGCTGGTTTGGGGTTCCACAATCTGAGCAAACCCCTCGAAGCAAAACAGGCCTCCCCTGTTCGGATCATGCTGAAGGTCTGACAGCTGCAGAGACGCAGGCGCGCTCCATTTGGAACAGGGCGTGTGCTGCTTGTTTCCTGCTTATTGGTTGGGGGGGGCGTCACTGAAAATTGAAGCGCAGACAAGTCGAGGGCCCTAATCTTTCATGGCCATTGCGGTTTGGGCTCTTAGGAGTTCCGTTTTCGGATGGGTCAAGTTTCACCATTGGAGGCATTGTCCAACTAGCTTCCCTTCAGTGGGATGATAATTGAAGAAGCGATATGGAGAAATCTGACCTAAGTCCTCTTGAGTATTGCGCCGGCGATTTGGGATGGGCCGAGCTGAGGCCGCAGGATATTGCCGGAAGCTAGGAAGAGGTTTTACTCGTCCCTTGGTCCTTGGTCCATGTCGAGTACCCTTCAGAAACTATGGAAGCTGACGATCGGAGGGTGCGGGAAGACGATTTTTCGTTGGGAATTCCTCCATGTCATCGTCCTCGCTGGGTATTCTGGAACAGTGAGGCCAACATGTTCTATTTCCTTTGGGCAAGAGAGCTGTACAGCAGGTGCGCTAGATGTCTACGTCCACAGCTAGCTGATGAACATCCATGCATGATTCTTCGGGTTACTGGTTTCAATTTGGGACATCGGTACGTCATTGATTGGCAGCTTTCTGGTTCCACTGGACAGTGTACTTGGTGGCAGGCAGGGCGCCAATGCAAATGCAGCCAAGCCGACAAACAGGGCCAGGCATATCTGAGAGGAAAGTGCTCCGACCAGCAAACGCCGAAGTTTGCGTTTGAGCAGCAGCCACAACAAGAGCACTCATGAGTTTCATCGTGGGGAACATTCCCCTTCCTTCTGTTCTTGGCAGGTGCTCAGAGCTGGTCATCAAACTTGACATTTGTTTAGCTACCTCACCTACCGGGGGTTTGTGACCTGACCCATGCAGAAGGCTTGTGGCCTTCGTGAGTGATCCCTTGCTTTGGGTCGATATGTTATAGTTGTTCTTATAGTTCACATAGAATCGGGTTGGTGTTATTCATCATTCCAGCCCCGTGGATGAACCGCGCGGACGGCTGTTGAGGCGGCAGATCCGCAGCAACGGCTCTTGCACGAGCCTGAGCAGCGAAGCTATGGGAGCCAAGATCGGTGGCAGTGACTCCGTTTCCAAGGGAGCCACCCTATCAAAAGACGAATCGGTTGATTATGCCAGATAGTGGGAACTGGGATCCACTTTCCATTTAGAGCACCAGAAAAAGAGATACTCTCAACTTGAAAGCACTCCACTGGAACTCTGTTGTCCAACTTTGACAGGTTGCCTCTTTCTTTTGTTTTTTTTGGGGTATCCACGAGGTTCAGGACGGTCATCAGCCGTTGACAATGATTGACAAATATCACACCCAATCTGCTCAGTGCTTGGACCCAACGCAGGGTTTGCCTGGATGTGTCGCCCAATCCTGGTGCGTCAGCTGTGGTTCGAGTGTCAGCGTTTGCAAAAACTTGCGCGGCTGAGCATTCAAGTGCGCACATAGTGAAGCCAGCTGCTCATCGAAGCAAGAGCCACAAGGCGCAAGTGGCATTGATGTTGTTCTTTCTCTTGCGTTCCATGTTTCATTCATTCCGGATTTCTTCATTTATTTAATTGATTTTCGTTTTTTTTGTTCGTTCGTTCGTTCGTTTGTGTTTTGTTAATGCCTTATTTATTTCTGAGTTTCTGAACATAGTTCTTTCTTTCTGTCCTTCTTACTGTCGTTCTTCCTTTACACCGCTCTAGCTGCAGAAAGACGACATTATTTCAGGCCTGTTTGGACAATTGGCAACAATGCTGCATTTTCAGCTTTGCTATGTCAGAACTGCACGCTTCGCGAGCACAAGACATCATAGTATGAGAGTGCCTCAGCTTCCTCTTAGTCCTGGACAGATCGCAGTGAGGGACATTGCGCAAGCAAGGGGAGTTGCCTTACAGAAGCTAATCATCATTCGGATAGCTTGTTTAAAGTGCTATGCTCAGCAGACACCAAGACCCCAAACCCCAAATATCCACAGCAACACTTGTTTGTATTATGGACGCTTGCAACTCTTTGTCAAAAGCCATTGTCACTTGAGGCAGGCAAAGTACATATCGCATCACCACGGTGGAGCTATATGAAACAGTGCAGGGCTGCAGTGCATTCCCACATCTGTGCGTAACACTAGCCCTTCCTTTCAAGATTGACCTGGATTCCTTATTTTCAGTTGGTCCGCCTTGACTGTTTGCGCATGAGGCTTTCAACATCTTACCGTGCCTTGGCCGCTTCCGGCCATGACAAGGCATCGGCACGTGGCGGCCTATTTGCCCTCCTAGACAGATTTGTTGAAGCTGGGGCTCAACATTTTGGACTTGGGCACTTGTTTCAGGAGAAGTACTCTCGGACAAGGTCGCTGCTGTTCATGTTTCATTTGACTGGACTCGCACATTCGGGCACAGCGTTTCTTGGCGGCAACTAACACCGGGGGCTTTTGCGCTGGCTAGTTCAAGTATCGGCACGTGACGGTGGGGTCTCGTTTTGACAGGTCCCCGCATGCCATGCAATCGGCATTGCCTCGGTTCTTGTACTTTCTGACGAGAAGTGTCGGAGAGCCATGGCTCCAGGCCCCGAAGGGCTGCAGAACTGGAAGGAAAGCCATCAGCTTTTCTGTCTCGCGTACGATGGGTTTGATCCCAGGTTCGTTTCCATCCCCAGACTTCCAACGGAACACGAGCTAGGAGCACCTTAGTGCCTTACCCCTCCCTCGGGTCGCGGCTGGGTTGAAAGGCCGCACAGCGCCAGGGCACTTTACTTGGGACTCCCGTGGCCGTGTTCGCTGGGATCAGCAACCAGGACGGGTGCCATGAGCGAGGGTATGTGTATCACCGTCGCACCTGGTACAGGGACCCAGTCCCTGAAAATGGCAAGAGCATGTTTTCTGGTTGGCCCCCTTCGAGCACCATCCGAAGGCTGGGATTTGCTATTTCAGCCCAACTGGGTCTGGTTGGTTGGGGGTCTGCAAGTCAATGATGCCTGGTCTTTGGTGAGACCGCACCTGTGCCTCCCAGAACTGCACAGGCTGCCTGTCCAAGAATCATCTTCCAAAACGATCTGTGCACTTGCATGCTTTTTTGGTGGGAAGGTATGTTGTTCAGAAACTATTTGAGTTTTCATTCAGCCTGCAAAAGGTTAGACTGTCCAGGTTTGGAAACATCCAAGACAGGTCAAAGCTTCAAACCCACATGGAGAATATTCAGATCTCAGGTCTAGTTTGAAAAGTGCTCGGGCAGGAGTGTCGAACTTGGAAATCCTTGAAAAAGGTACCCAAGCATTGATCTGGCAGTTCCTCCCTGCATCCTCGTGGCCCTTGCAACATCTAAACTGACCGCATCCCCAGAAATGCAACTGGCAACAGGTGCAGACCAGGTGAGCAAGCATCCGTCATGGGTTGCCGCCAAGGCGTGGCCCTGCCCCTTTTCTCCGTGGGAAACCGCCAGGCAAAATGGGATACTGCGCATACGAGTAGTTCCCATATTACCTAGATACATGTGTACAAATGTAGATATGCTTTAGATCCGCCGGCTCTCTCCGCCGACATTCTCCTCCTTCTTCTCTCTCTTTCCCCTTCCCCCGTTTGTTCCCTCGTCCTCTCTCCCTCTCTCTCTCTCTCTCTCTCTCTCTCCCCTCCCCATCCTCCCCATCCTCTCTCTCTCTATCTCTTTCTTTCTCTTTCGCTCTCTCTCTCTCTCTGCTTCTTTTTCGCTTTCTCTCTCTCTCCTTCCTCTCTATGCTTCTCTCTCTCTCTCTCCTTTATGGTATATGCACATCTATAGTTATATTTAATTCATAATATGTATATGTGTTTGTGCAATGCATATATATATATATATACACGTACATGTACACACGTTTGTGTTTTATGTACACATACACACGGTTGCACCTTTTATTATTTGCAAAGTACAGGTGTCCAGCTGGGCCCCCGAAGATGTTTGAGCTTCAGGAGTGGTACCACGCGTCCTTTGCACAAGCTCCAGGTGCTTACACCGGTGCGGCGCCAAAATGGCGAGAGAGAGAGAGAGACATTTCGGGGTTCAACATTTGTTGAACCACCCATCCCTGTGCCTTAGAGGATGCTTCAGGAAAGCCTCATTTCCAAGGAACTAGGCCTGTCGGTCCCTTAGAACATGTCATGGCCGAGAACAGAAAAGTCCGCGAGAAGCCAGGATGAGGTTGAGCAACCAGTGCTGGCTTAGGGCTTAACGTGTTTGTGGAATGTTTGCAGAAGTGTATGCCAGAACCGAATGTTGCTTTGGCAGCATTCATCCGGAAGTTTCAGGCTTTTCAGTCAGCAGGTCAGAGAGTCTCGACTCGAAGCGTCCCACAACAGATTGCTCAGGCACTGCTTGGGAGAGCGTGAAGCATCCTCTCCTGTTCTTTTGGGGGTGGTAGTGGTGTGAGTGTTGGATACGAGTGTTTTGTAACAACCGGTACAGAAAAAACAAAAAAAACAAAAACAGCTCTGTCTCCCATATGCCGGCTTGCAAGGAACCTTGAAACCGCATTTGGCCAATTGCTCCCTTCCTGGTCTACTGCAGTGTGTTCTAAAACAGGGGGAGCGCCCCAATGCTGTTTTGGCTTCCCTCAACAGAGGAAGCAACAATCCCGCAAAGGGAAGAACACCGGCAAACCAACAGAGGAGACGCCAAGCCAAGCTACGAGAGGGGAGTGGTACACAGTTCGACTTCCGAGCGAGGGTGCCAATCAGGTTTGAGTCAACACATCGAGTGTCAAACAAGCAAGCACAAACACACATGTTCCGAGCGTGATCTATTTTGGAGGAGTCGGAACTGAACCGGGTGGAGTCGGATGCAAACTAAAAGTGCGCAAGGCTCCTGGACGACTACCTAAGTTACAAGTTACCCAAAGCCGACCTTTTGACCTGTTGGTTTTCCTGATTTGGTCCATTCTTAGCCATGGCCCCAAAAGGTCAACCTTTTATTTCTGGGTGCTTTGGGTATTTGAGCTACTGCCACTGAACTTCTCCGGAAGTCCCAGGCACGGGCACTGCCGCAGCGGTGGCTGCGAACCGCGTCTCCTTCGCCCTGGGCCTCCGGGGGCCCAGCGCTGCCACAGACACCGCCTGTGCGCCCGCCGGAGTGTTGATTCCAGTTGCTTGTAACGAAGGGGTTCTTGTTGGGTTTGTCTGAATTGTTGGGGTTTTGTCAATCGTTTTTGTTGGTCTCACTGTTTTTGGGGGTGTCTTGTTTTCTTTTTTGGGGGGGGGTTGTCAGTCGAGACAGTCTGTGTGTCAAACCGCACTGGAGGGGGAGACAGAATCAAGGGTCCCCAACTCCGCATTCAACCATATTATCCTGGTAGACTTGCAGAAACATCGCAAGGTTTCCCTTGACGTAGACCCTGCTTGCATGTCTAACGCTTGATTCGACTTTGTCATCAGGAATGTTGATTTCAATCCAGGGGTGGGCTAGCTTTTGCTCAGGCTTCTGGGGTTAGTACCCGAATCATGCCATGATAAGCAACACACTTTCCAAACGCCAGGCTCCTCTTCGCTCAGTGCCCTTTCGGCAGCGGCGGATTGGTTGCGCAGACCGTCGCGGCATGGAGGCACGGGGTGACGCAACAAACGCCCAGAGCCTTTTGGCTCTCAGTGTTGATCCGCACAGTTTAGTCATGGTCCCAAGGTCTTCCAGGGTCTTACTGAGTGACATTCGATTGAACACCGTACTTGGGGCTTCCGTGTTTTTAGCCTGCGAATGACAGTGATTTGGGTGTAGTTGACACTTGCCGGCTAGCAAACTTGAAGCAGTTTGTTAACAGCCTCTCAGATTCCTTCATTGAATCATTTAGTCTAGGCTTGAGCATTTTCTGGCCAGGTATCTCAGGTCAGGTCTCCCACCGGTTCCGTGGCACCCTTTGAATCCCTTTTTGGTTGGTGGGTTCTCCACTGAGCGACTGGTTGAGCGGTCAGAAGTTGGTTCCACTTCAGCGCAAGGCCGGCGTATCCGAGAGTCAGTCAGAGCCTCAAATTTGTGGCCACCCGTCCGTGTTCAGGTGCGTACAAGGGTATGTGGGGGTTGATCAAAAGGTGGCCTCTAAAATTATGGTGCTCCTGGTGTTTTCTTTTTAAAGCTAACTTAAAGGCTTGTCTCCGGGGGAAAACAGAACAACACACCCACCCTGTAGAGCCTTTCAGGAGGACCAAGACTGGTTTGTTTTGATTTGGGTTTTCATCGGTCCCTTTCCAAACCATCCAAATGCGGGTTCCCAATTCTGGTACGTGTATATCCAAGCATCGGAGGCTGTAGGGAATGGCAGGTATTTGTTTGGTTCTTGTTGGTTTCCCTTTGACTGGTCTCGGCTCTCCAGTTGACATGCTCGAACCGGGGAATATCTGAGCCACCATTGGCTGAACTGGCAGCGACTCTTGGTGCACTCCCTACCTGACATTGGCTCATGTCAGAAGTTGCTGGATACTTCTGGAGCGGGGAAGGCCAGTTTCGTGGTAAACGCGACGTCTGGACTTTGTCTGACCAATCCACTTGCGACCGTGAGTTGGCATCTTTTGGAAGCTTGTTGGAAGGCCAGTTTGGAGATGAACCTTCTGCGAGTCGTCTGTCTAATCCGATCCCTTTTAAAGGTCCCCCTTCCAAAGTGTAATCTAGGGGCCCAACCGCTGTGAATGTTCGGGGGGCCGAAAACTAATGTGAAGAACGGATGAGTTTGTTTCTTGTGAGGTTGCAGCCGGCTGCGAGCTGCTGCTTGGAGCTCAGCCTGCCGCTTGCCACTGGCGCAGAGCTGGCTCTATTTCAGTTTTTGCCGTCCTAAGAATTGTTTGTGTCCCAGCTCTCTATCTTTTCTTTTCTTTTATCAGCCCCCCCCTCCCGGTTTCCCAATAGAACCACAAAAAGGTCGCGACAGCTTGCAGGCATCAGGGTCTTACAGCACGAAGCAGAAACATGTAGCAAAGAAGGAGGCAGCAAACATCAGGGTCTGAGAGCTCTACTTCTTCCTCGGTGGCTATGCGGCTAGCAAAGAACGACTGTGCGCGCAAAATTATCCGTGGTTTTCTGTCCCGTGTTGAAGTGGAACTCGGGCAGTGGGTCAGGTGGCACCAATAGACGCAGAAGGTGCCGCATGGAAGACGCCAAGCCAAGAGTGCTTGCGTTTAGCGTTTCCTTGTAGAACTCTGCCTATACATAAAGAATCGGAACCTTGGAAAGAAGATAGGGGCTTGCTAGCAATAGAGTGAATACAGGGCTGGCGCGCAGGAAGCACTGAGGCTGGCACACACTCATTTTGGAAGATCTAGATGTAGGTCTGCATTTGCGCGCCTAAATGTGCAGTTGTTTCTCACACACAGACACGTGTCGTCATACGCCTGTGCATTTCTATATTCACCTGCGAGACGAGGCAAATGTTCAATGATATGTATCTTCTCTGAGTCAATCATAACAACATGATCCCTTGCATTCGGGCTAGCTGGGTCGTGCAAATGGGCCCTGAGTCGATCTATGTAGGGGACATGTTTCCCCTGGCTCCCTTTGGCCTTGCCTCTCTTCAGGACACAGAGCAACGCCTTTTTGAGGCTTCCATCCCTGCCCTACTGTTTTCAACCTTCCGACCAATGGAGCACACACACCCGCTTTGATCAGGTTCTTTCAGCCAGTTTCTATTTACATAGGCCATCTAAGTGTCCAGACGGACACCTTCGGCTGTGAGGCTGGGGCCTAACTCAGTGCTGATCCGCCTGGCTGCGAATATGCTCTCGTCGTGCACTCAGGTCCTTTCCAACAAGAACCAGTTGTATGGGTAGTCCCCGTTTCTTCGGTTTTGGGCCAAGAAGCAGCATTTCAACCTGCGCATAACATCAAGCGAAGGCGATCGAACAAAAGACCACATCTTGCGGGGGGTAGGCTCAGTCAATTTTACGGGCACTTGAAGGCACATTCCACATCGAGGCCAACGGGCCGATGTCAGACCTTCAATGCTACAGCGGATGGTTACGTCAGGCGGGCGCGGGGGAAGAGTACGCAGACGGCATGTGGAGCCGTACAGCTACAGTTTTGTAAGGCAACCTCGAAGGAGTCTACAATGTAGGCGGCTGGATGCCTCGACATGTTACACAGATACCATCTGAGCAAGTTTTGGAAGGCAGCCTCGAAGGAGTCATGGCGACCTACCATGGCCCAGGCAGAGAAAACATTGCTGTTGAAGTTTGTATCCGATATGTTTTATATGAAGCGGCCGTTGTTCTTAAGATGGACTGATGGACCCATTTGTGAACCCATTGCCGGTTGGTGCCCCCCTTGGTGGTTGGTTTCCAACAATGAACTGTAATATTATAATTATATGGGTTGCCTCACCAATCAAGTGGCCCTTTTTCTGGGGTTCATGTACGGCTGGGTGGGTCTCTTCCAGTCTTTGGGGTTGCCATTGAAACAACCGATTTTTAGGGGTACCAAAAGGAACACTCTGGACTGAAACCTTCAGCCGTGTGTTTTGCGTTGGTCGGAGTGAGCACTTCCAGCCAGGGGAGAGGGATGTGGAGCCCAGAGCCCAGGATTGCCTTGGCCGACTGGCTGCTCTTTCTGCCAGGGTTCTTTCGAAGTTGCCTGTTTTGTGTCCCTTTGGGTCAAGTTAAAGGGGCTTTCCTGTGGGTGGCGTGATGTTTAGAAGGGACGCATGGGGTTCTCAAAATGGTTGACCCCCTTTGGGTTGATTCCACCAACCGGGAAACCCCACCTAGAGGGTTCCATCATTTTGAGAAGAAAAAAAAACAATCTTGTCGTTTTCCTTTGGTTTCCCTTTCAAGCCAACCCTCCAAAAAGGGTACCATAGGATACCCTCAAAGAAACGGGCCATGCCGAGGCGGCGGTGTTGACCTTCGGTGAGACTGCCTCTGGCAGCGAGGCGGGAAACTCTCAGTGGGTGAACCTGGGCCTTGGGACGCAAATCCACTTGGCTTCCGCAAAGAGGACGTGGGTGGGTCTAAAAATTGAGGAGCTGCGAAGCATAAAAATGGTTGGTTTTGCTGGAAAGAGATTCCATGAAGGTGTCCCTCACCCGAGATGACCCCGTGGTTGCTCCTGCTTCTATTGATTCAAGGGCAAGCTGAAACCCAGGCGCATTTGGACCAGGGATGGCGTTTATTCTGAAAGCCAACAGAAAAGCACAAGGAAAACCGGCCTGCACTTTGAGATATTCTCAAAGCAAGGTCACCCTTTTGCAAGTTGGCGTTTCGGTATGGTGTGACTTCCCCCAGGCAAAATAGTATTATGTACTTGCCCGAGATCAAAAGCCACCAATTCAGCACGGATTCGCGGCGACTGTTTGACTCCCAGTTGACCAAACAAAGCACCAGTCAATAGCAACAACATCCACCCAGTGGCGGCCTACTCATGGGGTAGATGGGGTAACTAGCAACACTGGGAAGGCTTGGAGGCCATTGTGTTTGAGAGACCTCCTAGAAAAGTCCAAGTTGGTTTCATGGATCATCAGTGGCTCCGAGCCGTTTCACATTGACATGTTGCTAGGGTAGGACCATTTTTGGACAAGGACACGAACAGCACAATTGTTTGGTCAAGACGGTCTGGTACAGCATGTTCAGCGTTTGATTGGTTCACCTCAACTTCAAAAGTAGAATCTCCTGTTGGAGTGACTTGTTTTGCTTGATTGATCAGGAAGTTGTCAGTACTTCTTAAACAGGCGGGATGTCCAAGACGTTTCTCGGAGATTCCTCTGTGGTGCTCGATCCTGGAGCAATTTGCAGTGAAGGGGTTCATTCACTCATGCATGGACATCCAGCAGGTGCAGGTGTTCCATATGTAACATGCCAGGGGGCGTATAGAACCGGCGAGTCCTTTTTTTCCGAAATGGGTGTGTCACAAAGTTTCTAGGACTGTGGGATGGGGTTTAAAGGTATGCAATAGGTGAATATGCCAGGGCTCGCTGGAGAAGCTTCTGGCGTTCTTACCTCCCACTTTGGACCCAAGCGCTTGCATCGTGGTTGAAATGCCCAGATTCCCTGCGCAGAAGCTCAACAAAAGTGTCTGTGCACTTGGCGCCCAAAGTTCAGGCTTGGACAAGATCCCATAGGTGTCGCCGGAAGTGTGGAACCCTTTGTCAGAGTCTTTGGGGCCATACATAGAAGTCCCATCCAGCGGCTGGCAGTCGCTGTTGGCTGCCTTCAGGTTTTGCTTGCCGCCACTGCGCTGAACCAGGCTGGAGGGAGGTAACAAAAAAGCTCTTGCCTGAGGGCCCACATGTGGTTCCTTCTTTGGAGAGAGCAGTCCACCCTTGTTCTCGAATGTTTGGGAGCCCAACATTTGGAGAAGCCACATTGCCTGGCGGTGTTTCCTTTTGGTCCTGAGCTACCGACCTCTTCCATCCCTCCGGACTTGAACATAGCTGGACTTTATTTCTCAACTCCACCTCACTTGACATTATTCAACTCAACTTGATTGAGTTTAATCTGAATTGACCTTGCTTATGCTTGACTTGTGTTTCCTCAACTGCTCTTGAGCCCACTTTGTTTGAGCTTTTTGAGTTTTCCATCAAGCAGACTCAAGCCTTAGGTCCACCTCAAGGCTGAACCTCCAGGAAAACCTTAGCAGAGGCTGCCTATTGTTTCAAATGTCTTGCTCTGTCAAAAAGCCCCTTAGCATGAAGTAAAATTGCAGGAGCTGCTTTCCCTAGCCCCAACTACCAAGCCAGGCGACAGGAGATGTTTTTGGGAGGTACCTGAGGTTCAGACCTCCCAAGCCCCAAGACCCATTGAACAATTGGTTTCTGCGTTCCCCGTGGCCTCCCCTCAAATGGACGGATCCTTAAATTCCCTCAGTTTCACGCTCTCGGCGCAGGACGGGCGTAGCGCCACGCTCACGGCTCCCAACGGCCGGTCCCAAGAGGATGTGGGGGACTCGGAGCTGAAGCAACAAGCTCACCTATGCGAAGACGAAGAAGGGGTCCCTTTATTCCGTCCAGGGAATTATGGGAGTTGGCCCAGATCACCTGTGTACAGTGTAGCTTTCATCGGTGCTCTGAATCCCAACAGCTGGGCTTCATATTTGGGGTGTGTGACCCATGAACATCTCGCCGAGACAAGGGTCTGTCATGTCTGTCTATGGGCTGCTAGGATGAACCGCCAGCTCCACAAACTTGCCAGGTTGTGTGTGGCTCTACTGGAGGGCATGATGCAGGTACATCACGAAACGCACTTGTTGCTTGCAATTGTGTCGAGCCGGGATTCTACGCATAGCACATTTGATTGCAGCCATAACTCCGATGGGCCGAACCCTGTGACAACTGCAGCTTGGCTCGCCACATGTAGATGGCTTCACAGCACCTTTTTACACACTGCTCTCCGGCGCACATGCACCCGCGTGCCAGGTTCTATTGGATGCACTTTGGCCTGCTTCTGAGTGCCGGCTGAGATCGTGAGAAGAATCCCCAACAACCCCAGCCTCCCCGCCCCGAAAAGGGTTGTGAAACATATGGCCGCTGGTTTGACCCTGGTGCCGCCTTGTACCACCTTTGAAAGGGGATACCAAAAGGAGCCCTCGTAGTTTTGACACCCCCACTATGAGTACTGTATCTTTACAGATCAAGCGAAAAAGACAAAAGGAGATGGTACAATTTATGTCCGTCGGTTTGTACACTTGGAATCCTTTCACTCTCGGCCGGTTGATATCTTCGCATTTTGTGCTACCTGGGCCATGATTGAGCTTCAAGCCCCGTTTGCTGTTTGCTTTCGGCACATGCCTATGAGGTGTTGAGGTTTTAGGACATACATGGGTCACCCTTGGAACTTCTCTCTGCCCCTTCGGACAATCCACATATGTGTTGGGAATGCTACAAGGATGCGGAATTATAAGCATCGTGTTGGTCCCTCAGTGCTTAGGGCTGTGTCGTGATGCTGAGCCTCCCCTTTTGAAGTAGTTCTTGGGAAGGCCTACTAGTGGTCTCACCGAGTTCCCAACCGCTCCTAATTGAGTCTGGCTTCGTTGGCCCAAGGCTGGCAGGGCTCCCTGCCACAGCCGTGACCTTCGTGGAATGTCACGGCACTGGGACGGCCCTGGGAGATCCCATCGAGGCCGAAACCGGGACCCTCCTGGTCGAAAACCAACAGCTGGCCAATCAACCAGCCTTCCTGGACCCTCAAACTACCCAAACAAGTGGGACATCGCCCTGAATGTTGGGCAACATCCAATGTTTAATATTTGAGGGTCCAGGTTGGTTTATTGTTTTATGAAACAAGCATGGACACCGACAGGCGGTTCGTGGAAGACTAGCATCATCTTCAGGAGTCCTGTCCAGATCCATGATTGCTAGAAAGAACTGGCTTTCCTACAGGGGCTCCCAAAAAAGTCGCAAAGCCAAAGAGCCAGGGGTTGTGGGGAAACATGTTGCGTGTTGCCAAACCAACTTGTTGCACACCGCTATGTTGGTGAAGTTGCCACAGGCACCTTTGGGTGGGAGGGTTTGTAAGTGGATCCTTTAGATGCGCAGGGCGGGTCACAACGCTTCCAGAAACAACCAAAGTGAATCGACTCAAGCACTGAGTCTCGGTTCATCGTTTGCTAGTTATTGTTGTTGGAAGCATGGCAATCTAAATGCTCAACCAACCTTCCGTTTCCAGGCCCTTTGAGCAAGTGAGCCAAGTCTGATCGTGAATATCGATTCGCAGCGAATGGCTGATGCAGCATAGACAATTTGTGAATCCACCCCCCCATTTTGGTTCGTGGCGTGGCACAATTAATGCGCATTGGATTCAAATACCCCAGCCAAGAAACCTCCTTGGGTCCTTATGATTGATAATCTGTCCCCATTCCCGGCCTCCACTTTTTTGTTTCTTCTATTTGTTTTGTTTCTTCTTTTTTGTTTTTGTTTTCCGAGGATTTGGTTATATGCCTTCAGTTTCACAAGCCCTGGTCAGGTGGGTGCCCTGCGGGCGGTACTTGGAGCGCCCAGAGAGGACTGACGAGGGAAGCTTTGATTTTTGGGACGAGGAAAATGGGAAGGGACGGGCTTTGGGATTGCCCATTCAAGGACTGGATATGGCTGTGGGTCAAAACCCATGGTACCATTTTGGGGTAGGTGCACTACCCATTTTAGGGATGTTCACTGGGGGTACGGCATTCTGACCCATGGCCATATAGAGAAGCCCGAGTGGATCCGGTGACCAGGTGCGGTCCTGTCCGGTTATCACTCAGCCCATGGCGAGCTGAGTGATTCAGACTGGGATGGTCTGAAACCTTGGACGGTGTTTGCCAATGTGGTCAAGAGAGGCATGGCAAAGTATACAATTCACAGACTAGGCTCGTTCTTCAGTGGCATTTTCCAATTCTCTTCTTGTTTGGCAGCTTCCCCACCTCTCGAATGAATGCAGTTCACTGGTTGCAACTGAGGTAAGTTTCAACTCTTAAATGAGCACACTTGGGGTTTTGGATTGGGGAGCCTCAAAAATTAAACATGACTACGGTGTGGTTTTGGTTTCCCTTACACCCCCCAAAAGGAATCACGAGGCGTTTTTCCTGACCGGTGCAATTTCTCAGCAGGAGCCACTCTGGCTTGGAGCTGGCAAGACCAACCTGGGCCACCTGGAGGCAGGCGTTGGATACGCCTACGAGATGTGAAGTGTACTTATTGGGATCATGGCAACATGGGGCTGTGGCTCAAACAAGTGGTACCAAAATGGCAGCTTGGTTATTGGAACCAAAGACTAAAACCCGTGTAACCCCAGCTCTTAATTTTGAGCCATACCCATGGCGTCCCAACGACCTATTTGGTTCTATTTGCGGTTGCTATGTTGAGGATCATAGACTTGTTGGGGAGGTCACAGGCTTTCGAATTGCAGTTCAGTTGACAGAGCCATGCCTAATATGTCCCGCTCAAGGACTTTGGACCGACATATGTGTATGAGTATGTACCTGCATATGTATGTGTTCTTTTTTGTTTATTCTATACAGGTGTGTGTGTGTGTGTCCATGGGTATATATATACATGTAAATTCCTTCTAAAGCGTTTCAACATGTACATGTCGATTTCAATTCTTTGGTGCGACGGGCTGCGAGCTGCCCGGCTGGCGAGGCGGCAGCAGGCTTCGCCGGGCTCGCGAAGGTGGGCCACTTTGGGGCGGAAAAGATGCCCGAAGTGACAGCTAGGTGAAAGTAGATGGTGCAATTCCCACTTATGTTGGCCACGATTATTCCAACTTATGTTGGGTACATCATCCCCTTTTCTTACCATAAAATCTATTGTGCCATCTGCTTTCATCGGACGTATCCTTTAGGATCTTGAAGGTAGCCCTGGGCAGACTTGTTTCAGGCGTGTTTGTTGCCAGGCGTAAATCACCATCCATGGGATTGTTTCCAAAAGGGCTACCCCACATGGGAGATTGTGCTTTGGTCAAGTTGTGCAATAACCTCACAAGAGATGCTATATGAGGTTCGGTGAGGATGTCCAGTTGGGAAGGTCAATGTGGGAATGACATTGGGGATGCACAAAATGTCCTTACTTTCCATGTCAATTCAGGTGCTGACCGTAGCTCATATATGCACCAGGTCATAGGGCATGTACACAATCATGCTGAGCGCTGAGCACCCTGATAAGTTTAGAACACGGCATGCGGAGTTGTCAAGCATGATGCCCTCATGACCTCTTGGAACATGAAACCAGGTTCCCAAGGGCCTCCTGTTGGACACAGAGTGATGTGCCAAAGCAAGAGATCCATACTGGATCTCTTTTCAGCACATCCAAGCACTTGCAGCACGGAAGCCCCACGTGGCATGTATTTGCAAGCCCGATCGGCACCGGCCTTTCTTCGAGTATACCTTTTGCTTCCCCTTTCTGGGAAGCAAAGGCATCCCCTTAGAAGTGTCGAAATTCGTGTTTCAGGGCTAGGGAGTCCCAAGGGTGCAGAGGGGCAAACCCAGGTGATGTGCAGCCTGCAGCATGGCGCAGTGTCTGCCAACCTTCACTTTGCCGAGCTGAATCCTCACCTGGAGCGGGAGATCCAGGAGTCGTGCCTGGCAATTGCCTCTGCGGCACCTGGCCTGCAGTGGATTTTTGTTTTTTCGTGAACCAAGTTGTGGAATGTTCATTTTGACGGGAGGACCAGTTGGTTCATTCCAATCACGAAGATCCTTTGATTGATTGTTGTTAACAAACAAACCGAGTGGCGAACCAACGAGTAGACCCTTCCAAACGAAACAGGTTACATCTCGAGCGAGGTGAGCCGCTGCCCTGGAAAGGACTTGGTCGCAGGAGTGACTGGCTGAAGTTGGCAGTGATCGGTCAGTTGAACGCAAGGTACGCATGGCTGGCTGAGAATCCACGGGGAAGCGGGTGTCACGGAATGGGAGATGGCCTGAACATGTGGGCCCTACCATTGTCCCCTCTTGGGGTTTATGACATGACCAGTTGGACGAACACACAGATACAGCACACCTACAACAGAACTACAACACACACGAACCAACACACGCACACAGACACACACACACAACGGAATTCCAAACAAATCAAGATACTTCGTATCGAAAAACGCATCGAGGCCAAGCCGAAAATCACCCAGGAGTGTCCTCCTTCGGCTTCGGTGGCACCAATGCCCACGCCCGGCCGCCTGACAGCTGACTGGGAGGGCGTTACCCATGTAAGCTAGATGTCCCCAAGAAAGATGTAGATATCCATATCTTGTCCTTAGATATGTGTGGACTACTCATAAATTTTAACACATGCGTGCACATGTATCCAAGTAGTCTATCACTACGTAGGAGCAAGTCTGATTTTTTTGGAGACATAGATAGAGCAGGTTTACCGACAACCGCTATGGAGCGAGCAGACGAAAGTTCAATGCTACAAGAGTTGCCCTGGGGCCTGGTTGTCGGTTGCAACTGGATTGTGCAGCTGGTGAAGGGATCGCAAGGTGTTGATTGGGAACCATTGGAATACATCCCAGTTACTTGTTCGGGCGGATGTTTGTTGAGGTCAAGTCAAGTTGCCAAGACGAGGGCCTGTTTGTTCTCGCCAACTGCAGGTCTTGGTTACCATGCTCTCCAAAATGGCCTGGATACAATGTCGCACCATCAGCCAAAATTGTGCTCTGAGATAGATAGAACATGTTTACTCTGAGGGAGCCACCACTTGGCAGTTTTGTGGCAGATTGTGGTTGGTATCATCCCACGAGTTTAGCCCCGAATGGGGGAAGAGGGTGATGCAGTTTTTGTGCCTTCATGAGCAAGTCAATGGATGTTTTGCCCCAATCAGTCGAACCCGATTTGTGGGGCGTACCTCATGGATGGCACATTTGCCCCAAGAGGCCACAATGGTATGGAGTCTATGGTTTATATAATCCAGGTGCATGAGGACCCTGCATGACCGCAGACAACACGGCAGCTTGAGGAGTGATTCCTCCTATGCCCCAAACGTTTTTTGTTTTGTTTGGTCTCCGGGGAAGTGGACGGGGTCGCTTGGAACTGGCCGAGGCGATCTTGAAGCACAGCAAGCAGGACTCGCAAGGGTCTGGTCAGGATCCCGGTGTGCAGTGGTCTCTTCCCTGCAGATATGGGTGTGTGATTCTTGAGGGTGCCCTTTTCAGTTTATCCATTGGTGGGGTACCCCTATTTTGATGCACACTGTACCCACATGCACCCCGAACAACCCTGATGTGTTTGCAGGGGATTGATGGGGAGCTTCAAAATTGGAGGGTCAATTCCTGAAGTCGATATCAACCCCCTACCAGTTGGCTCTTGAAGCTTCCTTCAACCACCACCCAAAAGGAGGAACGTTCACCTTTCGAGTTGACAAGCTGTGCCCGTTTGCCGGCAGCCTTCAAGAAAGATGCAGAGACCTCGCAGGGGCAGCATTTAATTTTACAACCCAACAGCAGGCAACCGACAATGGATGTCTGCTATGAGACTCACGGTGCTGTTGAGCGCCCTTTGCTTAGTGTGGAAACCCAACAGACGCAAGCAATTCCTGACTGACCAGACTCTTGCAGAGTTGCTTTCTGTCTCCTTTTGGGGAGGTTTCGGTGACCAGCGTAGCCGGCAGAGAAACACGCTCCCGCTCGCCTTTTGCAGAAAGTGACCGCGCCCTTTTGGACAGTGCTTCTTCACGAGGGGCCCCCTCCTCAAAAATCAACAGGCTAAATAGGCTGGAAGGACAAATGCTTTGAATGCATCTGCGCACACAGCCCGGACACAGCCATTGCAATAAACATGGAAGCTGAAGGGAGGGTTTTCAGCATTGGAGGAGAGGGTTTACCGGATCAGCACTATCCGCGCCTGAGGTCCTTTGCACGAGGCAAGACAAGTCTGGGAGCTCGGTTTTTCATTGTGGATTTGGCCTTTCGGGCAGTCTGTGTGTTTCGTTTGGAAATCGAACCGTGCGCGTGTGTGTGTGTGTGGTGTGGGCGTGCGTGTGTGGTGTGTGTGTGTGTGAGTGTGTGTGTGTGTGTGAGTGCACGCGTGTTGTGTGGTGTGTTGCTTGTTGTCTGTGTAGAATCTGTTTTGTGGGTTTGTTTGTGTCAGCTGAGCTGCGCTGTGCACGCACCGTGCAGTTCCGTGCCGTGCTGTGCTTTCCGTGCAGTGTAAAGAACTGCAGTGGTGTACTGCGCCTTGGCATGCAGTGCTGTGTACGCAGGCGTGTGATTGCTTTTAAAATGGGTTTGAATATTAAATTTGTCGTTTCATGGGATGTGTGTTTGCCCTTTGAGAATGGTGGCTCATGAGTGGCTCGTTGCGTTGGAGTTTGTTTCTGAGTTGGACTGTGTTTGGTCAGAGTCTTTATGATCGAGAGACAGATAGTTGCCAACGCCACAACGCGCCTGACTTTAAACAGCAGAAGCGCGGCTGGTATAGGAAACATTTTGAGCGGGCCAGCCCCCACCAACACGGCGAGCACATTTGATCAGTCAGAGGCATTATTTCTTCGGAGCGGCAAATCATTGCCACATGAGCAACTGACAGATCTTGCTGATATATGTATATATATATACATATGGCTAGTTTTTGGAAGGCATGCAGGTGTGCACCTACAACTTTCCCATGTTTTCTTGGGGAAGCAAGTCCTTTTCTTCGGTGCTCACGTGTTGCAGTGACGGAAGCTCACGGTCAGTGTCGCCGACTCCTTGAGGTCGCGATGCTCTTCACAGGTCAGAGCGAGATAAGGCACGGACTCCGAGTTCCTTTCGGCTTGGCGAAGGCCGTCCCATCTCTTTCGATTTTCATGTGAAGCGTCACTAAATGAGAGTCGGACAGGTTTAAAGCTGTGGGGTTGCTGGCAAAGGCGGTAGGTCTGTGGCTTTGCTTGAATTCAGGTTTTGTCTTAACCGAGGACAATGCTCTGGCCCACCGACAGCCTTGGCCATCTAGCTGACTAGCAATGTGATCTTGCTGGTATCTGGATAATTGCATGGTCAAACAGCTCTCAATGTGAGCGGAGCATTGGCCCTGATCTCCCAGAAAATTAATTATGCCTGTCAAGGACTGAATCCCTTTTGCCGTCTCGTCTTGCTTTTCAGTTGGGTCATACATCCTGGGAACTCCACCTTGTGGGGGTCATTATGGGTGCCATCCTGGGCCTTGAGCAGGTGAGAAAGGCTCTTGATTTGAAGGTGTGTCTCTTAGATGGAGGACCCCCCTTTTTGTTGGGTTTTAAAAGGGAAACTAGAAGAAACCGGCCCTTTTGGGGGGGTCACTCATTTTGAGAGACACCCATCTGAAGGTGGCCCACATGGATTTTAGTGTTGGTTTTGGTGAATGTTTTTGTTGCTCAAATGGATTCTGCTTTGTGTTGCTTGCTATGTGAGCCAAAATCCCAACAACACGTAGCTGAATATGGGAACTCCGCAAAAACTGCGCAAAAGCCAGACTGAAAAAGGTGAATCTTGTGGCCGCTGAAAAAGTGTAGACTAGTCCAGTACTTGATTCTGTATGTGTCCTTTAACAAGACCTTGTGCTTCTGTTCCATTTGGAGCCGTCGGGGCGTAATCCCATGAAGGAAGTGAGAAACCCCAAGACCAAAGGAATTTGTCCGGGCCCTCAGACACGAATAGCTTGTAGGGACTAGCAATCAATTAGCTTACTCAACCAGCGGTACAGGTAGCACACATGAGATTTCAGCCAGCTCACACTTCCCAGAAGGTTTTTTAGACCTAGTGCAGATTTGTTGTTTTTTTTCAACCAGTGTGTTCCTTTTTTTTGCCGCCGCGGCGGGCGCGGGGGGGGCGGGGGAGATCCAAAATGCCTCGATAGGCCGGAGTTGGCCAAAGAGCTCCTGAACGACGTGGCCTTCCGGGAGGCCTTGCAGCGATGCGCCCGGGACTCCCAGAAACGTAAGGGGGGGGGGGGGGGACCGGGGTGGGGGTCCAAAAGCGCCAGAAGCTCGTGGCTTTGGGAGGAGAAGGACGGAAAATATCTACAAAGGCTTGGGGACCACTCAATTGTCAAGTGTCCGGTTGGGGGAAAAAAGGGTGCGGAAGCTATTGAGACATGCAGAGCAGAGCGAGTGTTTTCTTCTTCTTCTTTTTTTTTTTTTGGGGGGGGGGGTACTTTGGTGATTTCTCAGTGTAACGCAAGCTGGGTGACAAATGATCCCAGATGTCCGCGAAAGGAACCTAGCAAAGGATGTGCTATTTTCAACCCCAAAAAGGGATCCACAGCGCGAAAGCAGATTCCTGTACGCATGGTTGCTTTTGTACCCCATCCAAGGTTTCGCGAGAGGCTGATTCGCGGATGACTGAAAACTTCCAGCTGAAACCGAAAGGATTGGTTGCAACTTGGGAGCGATCAATGCAGACCAGATGTTGTCAAAGGTGGTTGTGCTTGCACGCGTGCATTGCACTCTTAGGCATCATGAGCAAACATAGTGCAGACATATATTTGATTTTATTATTGTTCATTATGTACGTGTTAGGTTGGTCAGTATGAGTGAGGGACCACACAACATGTTCTCATTCGCTGCAAAATGCGAGGCACCCCCAAACCGGCACTCCACTCCAGTTTGTCATTATGTTTGTCATTATCATGAGTTGCTGCAGTATTATTAAATGTTTCTCATTAACTATTCTTTGCTTGGTTGCTTGTTTATTTATTGTTATTCTGTGTAGAGGAACATGGCTTGAAGTAAGTTGTCAATGCAGCCCGGTAGCTCCCAAAACACATCAGACGGCATTGAATCCCTGTTTGACGCTGTACCAATGGGTGTCGCCCTAGGCTGCAGCGTTTGCCTGAACGGCTCGCATTCAGGCCACCCTTTGCACCTCCTACTTGGATCGCAACCTTCTGGACATCATCCTCGCCCGGGGCTCGAATTACGGACAGAGCAGATGAAACGGATTGGGGACATCGGTTGGATATATATATATATATACACATACATATATATATATATATGTATAGCGTGGATTGGATTAGATGCATCGAATGGATTCGCATAGAGTTGGAGGATGGATGCGGGCCGCATTATGCGGGCGCGTTGCTTGTCCATCTCCGGCGGCTCGGACATGTTTCTGTTTCTCTTTTGTTTGTTTGTTTGTTTTTGCCCCCTCAGACCGTGCATGAATTCCACTGTTCGATGATCCAGCGCTTTCTTGTTGACATTGCTGATTCAGCAACACGCCGTCATTGATCCACCACTTCAAGCCTCATGTTGGGTTCAGGTCATACCAAGTGAGTGCATCGCATCAATTTTTGCAGGATGGATTAGTCTGTTCCGCTTCTGCGGCATCCGTTCTCTCCGTCCTGGCACATATATGGATTCTGGTTGTGCATAGGGGAACCAGGAAATGGGAGGGGGGGACCCGTCGAAATCGGATGGTTTTCGGTTGGTGTTCTGTAGAACCGACTCCAAAAACGCTGCTAGCAACATGAGAGCAGAGGTCAATGTTTTTGGTTTCTCAACGGCATCACGTGTTTACCTTTTGCAACGGCCAAGCATTCGATGCGACCAGCAACGGAACAGGTCCAGAACCAACGCGACTGCGTTCGTCCATTTCGCTCACCTGCTTTGCCAGATAGAGAGAAGTCCCATTTGTTGTACTCCTCCACAAGTTGGCATGGAATCAACAACAACATATTTGTTAGAATCACCTCCTTTGCCGAGCCCCTTTGGCTCCATGTTTGGGGTCCTATTGCGAGGATATGCGTGTCGCAAAAATGTGGGAACCCACGAGGTAGTTGCGTTGTCATTTCAAAACCCCTAAAATGCGGCAGTCTCAAAATTATACACCCATGTCAGCACCGCACGAGTTTCGTTAGAGAGGACAAACACGGGGGGGGACAATCCCAATGTCACACAAGGTCAAGGCGCACAACCCAATTTTAGCCATTTCCTCTTAGGGAACAGCCGAAATCTTGTCCGTGGCAACGGACACTGGGCTCTGAAAGCTCCGTCCCAAGGATCCGCAGTTGAGCCGCCCGGGGCCCACGCAGAGGGCTGTACGTTGTCCGAATTGGGACCCCCTTTCGGCTCCTGGTTGACACTCTGCAAGAGCTGCGGTTGTTGAGAAGGTCGTGCTGGGCCCAAACCTGGCGGGAGACATGGATGGGCATGGCTACAACGTGGAGGTGGCGAATCATATAGATCTAGCCTCTGAATAGAAGATTGCATTGCTAAGCAATGACGCTCTGACAACCTTCAAGACCACCCCCTGAGGGCGAATTTGCTTAAATTCAAATCCAGCCTCGGTGCTCATTTCAAGGGATATGTTCAAACAGGGCGGCTCCCCCTTGGTCCTGAGGTTTCGAAGCGCTTGGTAAGGGTACTCAATGGAGTTCGAATATTCCGAATACCATGTCAGGTTTCCCTGTTTGGAAGGATTAATCTTTACATATGCTTACAATTGTATGGGCATGGACGGTTTTCAAGGAAACTGTTCAATGTTTGGGTGGCAGCCTTCATATTCTTGTAATATCCACTTTGAGAAACAATCCGGATGACCTTCTACTCGTCAGAGTGTTGCCCTTGACAGATAAATCCCGCTGAAAAGTGAAGCCACCCGCTAGGATGGTTTCCACTACTCGCCACCCACTACCCCAGGATTTTCATGAATCAACCACTGCTATACCCCCCGATTCCCCCTGCTGCAAGTGGATATCACAGGTTCGTCCGCCTTGCGCTCCTTTGCGGCCTGCTTCAGCTTGCAGTTCGCAATGGCCTGGACCTTGGTCCGCGCACAAAAGAGGCGGGACGTTAGGTGCTCAAAGTGGTGCAAACAGGGCTCCTTTCTTTGCCGAGTTCTCCAAACGAAAAACCCGAAACCATGCAAATTGGCTGCTTTTGGTTGCCCTTCACATCAACCCCAAGCCGCATACCTTTCGACACAGCCGGCTACCAGGCTGCAAGGAGCCCTCGCAAGCCATGCAACGCTCCTTGGGGGTGCATTGAACAAAGGGGAGCCACATTCACACAAGCATGTGGAGCCTTCACTCCGTGGCTCCGGAAGAATATTCCCATTGTCCCATTGCCGCCCCACGCGGCAACTCGATTCATATATATATATATATATATATGTATGTGTCTTTGCTAAACATCCCTTTGACGAGCCAAGCAGTGTTTTCTCAATAGTGCAATGCTTCTTTGAGCACGAATTCAAACACGTTTAGAGTTTGCATCAGAGCTATGTTGCTGAAGGTTTTTCTTTGATGAATCAACCTCTCCCATGTCAAGGTGGACAAGGTTCTGGCAAGCCGAATGGTTTGTTGGGGGTACAATACCCTGGCCCACCCCTTCTTTGGTCCACTCCAATTCTTTGCGGTCCTGTGGTTCTCTAGCCAAGAGGAACGGGGTTTGTAGTGTTCAGGGCTGGAAAAGGCCACCAGTGACCAGCCTAAGGGAGGCTGGCCTTGGGCAGATGTCAAACTCTGTGTTTTACTCGAACTGTAGCAACACATTTGCTTCTGGCACTGTTTTGTCACGATCTTGGAATGGCAATGGGAGCTATGAGGAACATGTATTGGAAATAGCTCTGGTACTGTGAACATGTGATTCTCCATTCTTTGTTATTTGGAGGGCACGCAAGGGTCTTTCTTGGTGCCAAGCCTTTCAGGATTTTGCATGGGCGATACGAGGGCCACTGGGCGTGGCGACCAACTTCGCCCCTCTCAGACCTCAGGTGGAGCTGTGGCGCGCCAAAGGCGTGCGCCCGAAGGCGGTGCTGGGGCACAGCCTGGGCCCATGGCTGAAAACAGCGACCAGGGCTGGGTCCAGGTGGGCCGAAGCGGAACTCAGGGAGCTCGGGACCAAAAATGCAACGGGCGGTGCCCCTTTATTGAAGCGGAGAACACCTCGGCATGGCTGTGATTAACCCGGACTTATCAATGTGACCAAGTGAAATGTTTCAACAGGGTTTAAGCACGGCAATTCTGTTTCTTGGGGCTCCATTGCAGGCACCCGAAGCTTTTTGAGCAAAACCCAGACTTTGGAGGAACCCGAGTGAAGGTTTTCTTTGGCACCTGCGCATGCCATGCAAAGGCTTGGGGGAATTCGCCGCCGCGGTGGCCGCTGGTGCCCGGGCGCCCAAGCAGGGATGGAGCCGGTGGCCTCTTAAGCCGTCAGCCGTGGCTTGGGAAGCATCCTGAAACACATGGCCAAAATTGCAGGAAGGCCTCTACCTGCTTAGTCAACTCTTTTTTTTGGGCAATTTGCAAGCATGCGAGTGCGAATGTAGATGGTTGATTTTGCACTATTGGTTTAACAACCTCATTTGGGCATTGAGACCTTGAAAGTATTTAGATTGCCCGACCTTGGCACAAGCTCCGTTTGGAAGATGATGTCTATGGCCTGCACCCTACGGTTGTAATGAATCCACCGCCACATGCACCGGGGGGCACCAAGGTGATGTCGCTGGAAGATGGGTGGTGCACTTACTCGCTCCAACGCGCGCGGACTTGGGTTCCGAATGGCATGCAGAGACCGGCCTTGGACCGAGTAAGGCTTCGCCTAGTGACTGCCAGAGGCCGCTTGCTGGATGAAAGGCCGGAAGTACGGTCGGTTTTCGGAATGCGTGGTATTGGGAAGGAAGAAAGACACCACCCCATTGTTTGGGGGGACTACTCTGTGTTCGGGAAGCGTCAAGGACCTCGCTTAGCCTGAAGTTACCGTGTGATGGTCTAGCTCTGAACTGAGCCCGGTATTGCAAGGATGTTCAAGGAATGATGAGAGCTCTTGCTCCGTTGCTAAGCTTGTGCCTTTGGCGACCCTACATTTACCTCGAACCACTGCTTAGCTTCCTCAACCTATCCATCCACTTGTCGGTGTGGATTTCGCGCCTCTCGAGTTGTTCAGAGATTCCACTCCTTTCCCCTTGTTGTTTGGTGGCTTCCCCACAAGAAGCTTCCCCACTAGAAATGGAGCCAACCAGCCAAAAAGGGTTCCTCAAAGGTGTAACCAGGAAAATCCACAGGAAACGGCCCCCAAACACCCCAAACAATCTGTTTTCCCCTTTAAAAATGGGTCTATGACCCCCGTTTTGGGTAACGACCAACCATTTTTTGAGGGTCATGGAGACAGGTAGTTCCTGTACCCCAACCCTTTGACTTCCCGGGTCACTGGGCTAAGTCAGGTGCGAGGAGGGCGCCATGGCCGCCCTCTTCACCTCCCTGGCGCAGGCATCGAATTTCGGTTTTCCCGACCCGTGATCCATGGCTGTGGGTGTTTCCGCCATTTTGAGAATATTTGGGTGTGGGTCAAAACTTTTTACCACCCGAAAACGCAGATTTTACTCCTTGCTTCCATTTACCAGGGTTCCCTTTTGGGTACCTATTTTTGACCCACACCCATTTTTTCAGTTTCCCTTGTTGGTTTTTAACCGGAATTCATCACTACTGGAAATACTGTTTATTTTTTCCTCGGGCATTCACCTAATGGAAGGTTTTGAGGGTACCCTTCGATACGGGCTGTGCCTGAAAAATGGAATCTGTATACCCAAAATGGCACCGAACGGTCGGAAGCAAAGACCAAAACCGGCGTAACCCCAGCTGTTTAAGTTTGAGCCACACCCATATTGTGGCTCCCACTATTTTGACAAACACTCTCCCTTTCAAGGTGCATGGTCTGATTGCTTAAGCCAACTCAGGTGTATTTTTGCCGGCAAGGGAGGTTTTTGTTTGCCCTGGTAGATGTGGCCATAAGTTCAGCTCAATTCCCTTCTCAGGTTCAAAAGTGTCGGACCCCTGAGATAATACAGCTGAGTTGGCTCAAGCAAACAGACCATGGACCTCTCAAAAGTGACATCTAAATGTGAGGTTGTTGCAACACAAGTGGGTTCGCCGTTAACCATGATTATGTTTTGCCCAGCCCTGCCTGCCGTGCCTACACAGCGTTTCTGAGAGACCGAGCCATCTCTGCTGCAGTTCAAGAGCAACATCGACACAAGACATGCCTTCATGATGGGTCAAGTTGTGTTGCCTGGACCTTGTCACTTGAACAGATGAGCTATCCTGAGATCCGGCTTTGTTTGAACAATGCATCAGCTAACCCATACTTGGTGGTTTGGATTGGTGGTTTGTGGGGGTCTTGAAAGGAACAGGCAGCGATTGTGCAGATTTGGGAGATTGTATCCTCCAATTGTGGGCCAATGAAATTGTTGGGTTCTTTAGATCATCGTCAAAGCCTTTCAACTTGTGCACATGTCGCTTTGTTTTCTTACTTGCAAAGAATGCCGAAGTCCAAAAGCAACGAAGAGGTTCGAACTGCCCCCAAGCCCATTTCCATTCCCAGGTGCAAGCCGCGCACCCGGTCTTCGCCTCAGACATGCCGGCCATTGGTTGGAAGGGTTGGATGGTTGACTCAGTACGGTGGGTCATGATGATTACAAGTCAGCCACCCCCAAGTACTGCTGAATCGCTTTTGTCGCGTGTCCCTTGAAATGTAATCAGGGCCTTCGAGCCGAGGAGAAGCTGCGGCTGTGCATTGCGGCGATCAATGGCCCAAGTCAGGTAGCCGGAGCCTGAGTGACATATCGAGGACGTTGGACGACGTGATTCCATGGGGGATGCAGCAAACCGGAATTGGGGTGAGGGGGCTGGCACTCTGTTTCAGCATAATTTCTTGCTTTTGTGAAAGGGACAACCAGAAGCACCCAAGTTGCCCACACCATCGTGTTAGACAGCAAAACACAGTCGTCATTTCTGCTGGTTGCCATGTTTGAAATTCCGAAACTTATCATGTCCTTTTGCAACACGTCATTTCGCTTGCGGCTCACATGCGGCGGAGGGGTTGTCAAAGTTAGGTTTTTGGAGGGCCTAAGGGGCCAGGCATTGTCGCTGTGACAAAGCCATGTGCCAAGCCCCTGCCAAGCTCCTGAAGCATGTGGCGGCTCGCATGGACAACGGGCAACATTATCAGGGCGCCGGTGTTGGGTGGTCGCTTGGTGATTTGTGGGTTCAGAGACCTTTGCATTTTTGCTTCCTCAAATTAAGAATCCATGTAAGGTCCGTTTCCCAAAAGGAGATTCCTCGAGCTGAGGTCGTCTCTGGATCGCGTCCTGACGTGGAGGCGCGAAGTATCGTCAGCCTCAGACAGAATCCGTGAGCTTCCCGGATCCACGACTCAGCGTCATGTGACATGCCGATGCGACTTCGAGGCCATGTGCCAGCGCTTCCCGGGCAAGAGCAAGATGCTCGACTCGCCGCAGCCTGAGAGACAAGCCCGTCTAAGAGGAGCACAAAGCTAGCGGGGGAAATGATCAACGCAGCTCCGAAATGGAGGCCTTAGTGTAGTGCCTTGCGATGCTTTGCAGGTGTTGGAAACCCATCCCTGAGAATGCATCCGAAGGGACGTGTAGAAGGGTGGGATCTGCAGGAAAGCCAACATGAACAAACATGCAGCAGTCAACATAGACACATTGTTTGGAGCTTTGCTAGTTAAAAGGTTGAAAGGTGAACTCATTTAGAATCCATGCCAGCATGAGTGGAGTCGGCATTTTGTCCAACCTTTTCCGGGATGTACCAAGGAACACGTGGCTTCTTTGTAGAACCACAGGGCCAGACTTGCTTGGCATCCCGCTCGCTCGCTCGCCCGGCCGTTTGCAGCCCATTGGCAGAACATTTGGACCCTTACCGGTCCTGGACAAAAATAGTCCTCCTGTGCACAGCAGGCGGGGGCTCGGACCTGCCGACCGAGTGGGCCTTCGGATCTCGGGCTCGGCCGGCAGTTTGATTTAACTGGCCATCGGAAAGTGGGGCAGCTGTTGACCAGTTTCAGCGGAGGTCAGTATTGCTTGCAACTTCGAAGGCCACTGAACATGCGAGTGTGAGCTTTTTGCTGGCCTTGAAGTGGTTTGGGCCCCAAATGTGTTGGGTATACGGCCGAACGCCGGCCTTTCCAAGTTGAGTTCCTCTACGCAGGCGCCTTTGCTCCCAGGGCGGGACGGGATGGCAAGCGGGCCAATTCGAAGAGACTTTGGAGCACAACGGGCTTTTGTGCAACCTCAGGGTCCCCTTGTTCTTCCATATTCTCGTGGACACCGGCAGATGCCAGGCACCATGCATGTCCTCGCGTTTGTCTCGGCTGGAGATGTTTTTCAGGCGGGTGAGAAGCTGCGCGGAGGTTGCCATGGACCCATTGCAGGGGACCCGTGAAAACGGGTTTGAAGTTGCACAGAACATTGTTGTGTCTAGCATACGAAAGGGACCCATTGGTGATCGAACCCATTTAAGGTCCACCCCACCCATGTGTGCAATGCGGAAAAAAAAAACAATCTTTGACTTGAGGTTGGCATGGTCAAGAACCCTTGACATTGTCAGGATTCCTCTTCAGCGAACTATGACCGTGGCACCCACTTGTAATGCCTTTTCCTTCAGGTGAGTGCTTCGCGAGCAACGGCGGACCGAAACCATCCAGGCCGGAGCGCAGTGGATCTTGTCAAAGTGCAGGAATACAGGTGCCTCTTTACATCGGGGACCTGAAAAGTTGTGATTTCGTTTTGTTTCCCTTGAATGCAACCTCAGGAAGGCCCTGCGAGACCGTTTTGTTGTGACTTCACTCAAATGATGGCGAGCTCACCTTGGCGCAATACTTCCGGATCCCTTACTGTAGTCAAACATAAGTAGCGGGTTATGCGAACAACTGGTCAATGTGTTTGCTTCGTTCCTTGGGTTTGGGAAGGATGAAAAGGGCGCCAGGAAGGGTGGCATTCCACATGTCTGCCTGGTGCCATTTCGGCTTGGTCGTGGCAAGTTTTCTTTGGTTCTTCTGAGGCCTTTCCAGTAGATCTGAACAGGAAGTTGGGCCTTCACTTGGAGATAAACACGCAAGAACACGAACATTTCACCAAACTACACACCAATAATCACACCCTCGATACGCAGCACAAGACACAACACAACAGCCTACACTGCACACTACACACTACGCGCTGCACACTACAGGCGCACACATTTTTTTCGACGAATCAGCCAACGCAGCAACCAACACAACAACAAGCTTGCACGCACTACACACACACACACACACGTAGCCCGCACACACAGCCCACACACACACACACTCCCGACACAAACCCACACACACACAGACACAGACACCCCACACGCACACACAGATATACACACACACATCCCACTCTCCGCTCGTTTGCCCACTCTCCTCTCCACCCTTTCTGTGATGTCAATGTTGGTCATTCCTTTGACTGTTTCAATTTCAAGGGGGGTTTACGTTCACAGCATAGTTCAAGTAGAGGGTTTCTGCCCAAGAACCTCAACATACCATTTGAGAGTACCCGGCACCTGTATGAAAGGAATGCTTGTCATGGTAGGAATGGCATATGCTCACAAGGCAATGTTCCAGGGTTGATTTCTGCAAGTCCTCAGGCAGAACTCCTGCTGGACGGCTTCATGGGCGGTCTTGTTTTTGTGGCTCTTGCAGCCGAAGCGCGCTATGTGCGCCTGGACTTGCAAGCACAGGTCCCGGTGTCCTTTTGAGGTACCGTTCTAGTTTGGTCCAATTCATTGTGTGGTGTCATCTAGTTGTCCAACTGACTTTTGAGAAGGGCACACATACCCGTGTCGTCAAAGGTTCGGGCTCCCTTGCGTCTTCTTGCGTATATGTCTTTAAACGCGGGCTACATGGAAACCACGAGCGCCCTAAAGTAGCGAAAGCAGAGTTCACACGCCACCTGAAGGCGCTGGGGTGTGTACCTTGTTGTCTGAATTTGACCTTCGGAGCTTAAAGGTTTTGGTCGGATATCAGAACCACGGCCCACAGGGGCAACTATGGTGTGTCCAAACATGGCGATTCGGCGATCGTCCTTTTGTGTTTGAAGGGACAGCACAAGGACACCAACCAGTTTTATTGGGATCCACCACTTTCTGGAATCGCACAGTCAAAGCAGTGGTAACGAGCCTCAAAGAGTGCAAAGAGCCCGTGGGTGCCCAAAAGTCCTGATAAGCAACATGTGCAGTCGCACACGACACATAGTGTTTTGGCAGTTTTACTTTCAAACAAAAACAGTTTTGTCGTGTTGTTTTTGGTGAAAAAACTTGTTTTTGTTTGAACAACCTTTTTTTTCGAAAACAACACCTGTGAAAAGCAAGCCTTGCGTCCCAGCTCAGGCAGGCTTGGGCCTGGCCGCAGGGCTCAGCGCCTACGGGCGCCGGCGGCGAAGAGCCGCTGTCCCAAGACATGCTGACGAGGCCGGAGGTTGCGCCCATGCGGTGTTTTTTTTGCTTGATACTAGCGTATTTATCTGTTGAACTGTTATGTTGTTTGTTTGTTGGTTCGTTTGTTTGTTCGTTCGTTTGTTTGTTTGTTTGTTTTTGCTTGGTTGCTTGGTTGCTTGGTTGCTTGCTTGCCTGCTTGCTTGCCTGCTTGCTTGCTTGTTGCTTGCTTGGTTGGTTGGTTGGTTGGTTGGTTGGTTGGTTGGGTGTTGGTTGTGTTTGTTGGTTTCTCTGCTGTTCTTCTTGTAGTTTGAACGAATATACCCTCCCTGCTACTTACAGAGGGCACCTGCAAAAACCATTTCCTCTCGACAGGAATCCCCGTTGAGGTGCCATGCCATCAATCGAGTAACTACACACTTCGAGCCAATGAGACATTGCCTACAGCTGAGGAATCATGCTACACACTTTGGCGCCACTTTGACGCCAGTTCCCCATGAAAGGCGCTCGAAGGGGGAGCTCTTTGACCGGCCAGGAATACCCGCCAGAGATCGCCACCTCGAACGTGGACCTTGAGACCATGTCCTATGAGGCCGTGAGGAGACGGCTGGAGGCGGGAATCCTCGTGCCGACGTGGTGCCAAAGGTCTTTGAGGAAGGAAGGCCCTCAACAAAAGTCAAGCCATCAAGGACGTCAGAAGTTGTACGTATGCCCTAAGAATACCCCCCCATCCAAAAAGAAAGAACAACTGGGGAACCAATTATTGGTATTAGGGGTCCCCGTCGGCGTGTGCTTTGTTCACTTCTGGTGGGGGGTGGGTCGTCAGCATGGTTTCAGGTTCTCCTGTTTAGGTGTCCACTTGGGCTATTCTAGTCGAGTACTGCCCCCCCTTTTCATTGGACCTGTACTCTTGGGAAACGAATCATTCAAGTTTCTGAAGCAAGCCTAAATAAACTTCCCTTCGTTCAAACCATTCCGGGATGTTTGTGACCACACCCCGTGTAAAGGGGGGAATTGTTGGGCACAGTGGTTCACTGTTAGTTCCAGCTTGCACCAAAGGACATTCACACGGGTAGCATTTGGAACCCATTTGATACATTCCATTTTATTTATAGGGTCACCCAGACGGGTGTGACTTAAACTATATATGTAAGGGACTGATCCCACCAATTGTCATGTTCCTTTCGCTGTCCCTTTACACAACCCCCAAAGTTTAAACCCATTGAGTGCCATCCAAATCAACCCCTTTGTTGAAACTCATGTCAGGCATCCGCAGCGCTGGAGCAACCCGCCGCTGTGCCGCTGCTTGGCTGACTCACACACCGCCTCCTAAGATGGGTATGCTTGTCTTTGCGTCGGAGCGCTTTTTGGGGTAAAATCGAAAAGGACCACCATCTGTCTTTGCTGGGGAGCCTTCCCAATTTGGAGACAGACCCATATTCGTCCTTTTTTCCATTTGTCATGTTTGGGCTGTAATGCTCAAACAGTGTCCTTCCGGCATGTTTTAAAGGGACATGTAAGGATCCTGTGTAGGTTGTATGGGATTTCTTCAAATATTAGGCATTCCTCCAGCCGGTTGGTGTCATTTTCGTTCACTCTCAGGCCAGAAAGGGGCTGCCTGTTGCGAGACAGACCCAAACAACGGAGATTGAGGGACTTGCACCCAGAAAGCACAACTCCCAATCACAAAGACGGCATGTCGACTGAAGGCTGCTGTTGGGCAACAATTGATTCTTGTGATTCTGAAGATACGTTAATGGACCACTTGCGTGCTTCCTTGTAGAGGGCAATGCTTCAAATGAACGGCACCGTCAAGGGATAAGTGGCTGCTGTTGGCTCAAGGGCGATCCATTTTGCGGACCTGGAGAGTGGGCCCGCATTCTGGAGGGTAAACACAGTGGTGCCCAGCTGCCATTTCATATCAAAAGGCCTAGGCACTTGGAGACTTGGAGGTTGAAGGATCACTCCCACTGAATGGGGTTGGCTGTTCGAACTTGACCGAGTGCCATAGCAGTATGACTGTTTTGCTGG